ATGTCAGTCTTTTGTCTCCTGCACCTTTTTGAAGGTTCACATCGGCACCAGAGCCCTCGGATTGTTTGAAGATTGTGTGTGTGGTTTAGATTGTTCTGACATAAGTTGCTGATTTAATGTCACTCTACACCTCCAGACTTTGTCATCTGGCAGATTTTTGTTTCTCCCCCCCTCCTGCTCCTCTCCTTTAAACTGGAAGTCCCTTTGAAGTGCATATGCTACTGATAATTGAAGCAATATAATTCACTGAAAATAATACAGAGACCCTCATTTAATGGTTTCCGTTCTGAACTGAAAGTACTCACAGCAACTGTTGTTGCATTGTTTTTAATTTATCAGGGCACTTGCCTCAAGCGTTAGGACATGTTTAGAATTTTTTCATTAATTCATCTGTTGCTTTTGGACTATTTAGTCAAGCCACTGCAGAACATTTTCCTTCATTAAAAACAGAATGTTCTTCCCTGTTGACTCGCATAAAAGTCCTATGCCACTTTTTAATGCCGTTTATTATCACAACATGCTAAACAATGCATGTTCAGCCTTCTTTTACTGTTTTTATTTTTATATAAACTTAATATTTTTGTCATTTTGACCAGTTTTTAGTCCTTGTTATTTTTGGACATGGGGATGAGAAGAACTCACAGGCTGATTTTCCTCAAATCATAAAACAGTTTGATGTGTTTTAGGGTCCATTGAGGTAAAACCAACGCTAGTATGCTAGTGTTCAATGACATGCTATCAAGCTGAGGAGAATAATGTAAGATTTTAGCGCTGATTAAAGCTCATGTTAACATTTGTTGAATACTATTAATATTCCTATTTATTGAGCCACATAGTCAGTGTGCCTAATAATTAAAACCAGAAGCTTTTAGTCACCTTGCATTTCTCTCAAGTGTCTCCAAGACTGAATGTGTTTGAGTGACTATTAAATCTAATTTTAATTGTACAGGTTATAGTTATGATCCCTGGTGTTTAACTGGAATTAAGAGCCTTCCTGTGTCCTGTATGCAGGTGAAAAGGCTACCATGTTCCCCGTTTTGGACATTGACCAGAACGACATTGTTGACACCAACGGAGCAGGAGACGCCTTTGTGGGAGGTACAAAAAGAAATGAAAATCATCTTCCACACAGTTTGACTCCTATGTACACTCCCAATTAACCTTTGATACTGACCAACTATGTACCACAGTATCACCTCCAGATTTTACGAGCATGACATTTAGCCTGCTGTTTTTACCTCGTATGAGCTGATCAAGGCACTTCAGAGAAACGTCTGCATTTAGGTCCATGTTGGGGATGAGATAGGTTTTCTTATTTCCAGACTCCAATGCTGATTGCTTCCCTAAAATGACTGAAAGTTAAAGCTTGACCCCTGCTCTTCTCTCTACCCAGGATTCCTCTCTGCGTTGGTCTTGGAGCACCCGTTGGAGGAGTGTATCCGGGCCGGGCACTACGCCGCAAACGTCATCATCAGACGGGTTGGCTGCACCTTCCCAGAGAAGCCCAACTTTAACTGATGAATTTGACTTTGCATATTTTTCCACCAGATACTTATAAATGTATGCTTCAGGAATTTATGTACACCTTTTTTTATTTACAGTAACCAACTGCAAGGGACTTTTAAGGTGCCACTTGAATACCTTATCAAGCAATTCGGATTTTTGAACTTGAACCAGATACTACACTTTTTTTAGAGTATTGGAAAATCTTTATTTTAAGGGGTATTCCACTGAAAATATTCATCCTGAATATCAAACATTGGTACGATATGTCAAAATGCATCACCGCAGAAACTTGTCCATCACTGGTCCGAATCTTTTATATGTTTCTACTCAGGATCTCACCAACAGAACACTCTGGTTCTGTCTCCTCATTGCTCTGAAACTTTTCAAGAAGTACTATAAAATGTCATTTTTTTGTGTGTTTCTGTATTTTTTCTTCCTGCAAAGCAATACTAATTTAGGTTGTACATTTGGACCAGGGATGGAGAAGTGCATTACCCCGCAGGATAGGTTTAAAAAGTTTGTTCTTTCTCTTATAAGTGAAGGACGGCAGCTGTGGTCATCTTCGATTTGCAGAAGTTACAATCGATTTTAACGGTGACCCAGAGTCACGGCCAAAAAAGTTCCCTAGCAACTTTTCAAAACATTCCTACTGCGCAATCCATTTCTCTTCTTCCCTCTTTTACTATCTACCAAACAATTATCCCCCCGCGCTAACAAACTGCTTATTACACATCTTCCTTTGGTCCTCCCGAGCTACAACCAGGCATTTATTTGAAGAAGTTGCGGTTGTTTTTGGAGTGCAAACAATATGTGCCGTCCTCCACAAAGCAGAGAGCTACAAACTTTTTACAGCCGTCTTTCAAGCCTGCAGGCGCTGAGTGTTACCATACTATATGCTAAAAAAAAAAAGAGAGAGAGAGAGTAAATTTTCAGTTGAGTACTCCTTTAATATTTAGCAGAGTTTCTGTGGAAATAAGGGGATGAGACTGTGGTACGGATTACACTTTTATTTTCAGAGGTGAGAGTTTTATCAGGGAATTCTGAGGGCAATCTTTTTGTTATTACACTAATAAAAAGACTATCAAACACAACTAACCATATTGATCTTTTACCAGAACTGGGTCCATATTTGGCTTTTCTTCTCATTAGTTTGAGTTTTTTTAAATACAGGCAGAATGGAAATGCGATATATTAGCTCTTAGCGTTTGTATATTCCTCATTATTTAATCAGCCAGGGGCTCTCTCATGCTAATCACTTTTGGACAGCTCGGTACTCTCCATTATAGAGGGGGCTTTGGGGGGCTGGGAGGCAGAGAGACCAGGACCAGGCTGGTGTCCTGGCTCCGCTCAGTCACCCCCACTCATGCCTAACTGGACTCTCGGGGTGTGGAGCTGCACTGCGGGGCTACAGGAGATCATTTTTCTCAGTTAAGGGATTAGTGGTTGCTCTTCTCGGCGATCATTAGTGAGACCTGAAAATTAGGCTGATCCTTCGTAACCAGCTGTGCTGTTGCTGGGGGTTGGAGACGAGGATCAGAGGGAGGCCCCACTATATCCCAAACCCTCCTTCCTACCCCCACTCCTTCTCCTCTCCCACTGACTGTGGGCCAGCAGAAGTGTTGGGCAGTGTCTCAAGTGTTTTGTAGAAAACAATTGAAGGCTCATCTGTTCAACAAAAGAAGTGTGATAGAGAATAACATTTTTGTTCCCCTAGAACAACCTGTTACATCATATTTTCTTCTCATTTTCTCTGAATCCAGTTTTTACACTCACTGCGCTACAGCTCTGTTTCCTCTAATGAGGCCGAGTTTATGCATTTATGCTAATCGGGGGCGTCTAGGTGAAAACATTCTCCAGCCAAAATGTTATTAACAACTTTGAGACACTTTTTTTCATCAGCATTTTTTAAGGTTTCACACAGATGCGCTTTGAAAAGGACCACATTTCTGATTGGGCAAGATCACACTCCATGGCAGCTGGTTCATTTGCCTCTCAAGATGACAGATGGCAAAACACAAACACAAAAAAGAGGGAGCCATGATCAAGTAATGAGAATGCCTGCCACAATAAGGAAACTACTTTTCTAAATGTACTTTTCTGGTAAACTTTTGCTTGGCTGGATGAACGCAGGAGGTGGAAAAACAAACTTACAATCTGTGCATTTAATTAACTCTTTGTGACACTTTCCTCTGATTTTAAAGTGAGTGAGCCCGGGGCGTCTTTAAAATATTTAATGCTGGTTTTATTGTGTTGCAGCAATCTACAAAATCTCATATAATTCACTGTTCAGAGTTTAATGTGCTGTTAAAACTTTAAAGTGAGGCAGAGGTGATTAAAAACTTGACTTTATGATATGTGCTTTCTAAAGTGAGTTTGTATTTTTCTGAATGCAGCTAAACTGGGGCCCTGGCCAGTGTTTTGCCCCGCAGATGGGCAGCAGTGTTTGTGAACACCAGTGTGGCAGTTGGCAGGGATTGAAGAGGGGGATGGGCAGATTGCAATGGCACATGCTCCAATTCAAATTATCCCTGGACCCATGCAGCAGTGGAGGACCTGCTGGGGCCCAGGGTGGCATTCATTATAACTAGACCCAGGCAGGTTTTGGTCAGACACCAGCCGTAAACGCATCAAATCGTAACCACCGATTATTCTGATTTCACCTGCTTGTGCTCAAACGCGCGACAGCCCCTTTTAAACATTTTATCTGAACATGTTTGCTTGTAATTACCGATCACTTAATCATAATAAATGTCAAGAACTGGCTGTCAACAAGATGTTGAATGATACAAATAGTGCATATGGGGCAAAAGCATACAGGTAAACAGAAAATATCAACGAGAGCGTAATGACAAAATGAGGAGAGTATTGAAACGTGAATGAAAATGAAGGCAAATCAAATTACACATCAAATGTGTGGTTTTTAAGGGGGTTAAATGATTTTGAGGTCTATAAAGCTGTCTGTACAGTATGAGCATGTGTTTATAATCTGATGGGAAGTTACCAATTATCTCTCTAATTACATCTGTATTACTGCATGAAAAATGAGCTTTCTGGCATTTCTAATGCTGCTAAAGGAGCTGAGTGAGGGGAGAGAGTGCAAATCTAAAGACTGAAAATTTAATGATCTACATTATTGCTAACAACTATTGCTCTTCCTTGGGCATGGTGAAGTTAATTAGCAGATTATGGTGTTAGTGTATCATATCCCTTTACTGCCCTGGGTAATATTGGCCAACGTGAGGAAGAGCTCATTTCAAAATATGCGTGTGGATTTATGTGTTTATGTCAAAATCAATCACATTTGAGTGTATATCTAGTGCACATCAACGGAAGTTAAAAATGCCCACAGGGAATACATGTTAATAGGGGTGTTATGGCAGGAAAAGTGTTATGAGACAGATGTACAAATACTCTGAAGTGTAAAAATGTTCCTCCTGGCTCATCACTGGACATGTTGATGGAGGGGGGAAAAAAGTGAAATTGACAATATCATTGTAGGAGCGCACTAAAGGGGCGACGGTCCGCTCCACTACACTGAAGTAGGGATGTCTACAGTGGAAGAAGAAGAAGGGGGAGGGTACCACTTTGTCACAGGCTGCTATGTAGATTAACCTTTCAATTAGTTGTTATCAGGTCCTCTCCATGTCTCGGCGCAAGCTTTCCAGCCTTCGTTTTCAGAGATCAAATCCCACGAAATCGCTTCTTGGATATGTCGCTGCACATCTATCCTTCGACGTTTCCCCGATAATGAAGAGGAGTATCCGAGGGGGGGAAAACTTGAAGAGGTAAACTACCAGCAAATATTTACCGTAGCCTGTGTGCCCTCATTTTTTAGCCGTCTTTCGTACTTGTAATATGTTCATCCTTGCATGAAACTTGCTTGTCAATTTTGTTGTGTCTTCTCGCTCGCTGAGGCGACGCATTACATAGGTATGGTGTGTTTGTGTAACGTGAGAAAACGGCGTGAAAACCCAAGGAGGCTGTATATCATTTCCTTAATAAAATATGGAAAACGAGAGCGGAGAAACGGGGAGCTAAAAGAAACTGGCGATACATAATTGAGAAGCAGTGATGAAGGAGCTACTCTTCATAGCTGCCGTGTTAACTTGTATTCCCCGCTGGACATGTCTTTTCTCCCCGGGCTCACTGTTTTCCCTCATTGGAGATATTTGATAGTTAATGGTGATAAAAGAGGTCATGCCATCATCGCACAGCGCGACACAAGACGTTTATAATATCGCTGGCGGACGTGGAGGGAGTAGAAAACCTACTTTTTTAGCACAGTGTCTGGTTTATTTAACGTCACGTAGTTTAAATGTTAAATATCAGGAGAATTACGGCTCCTCTCGGGGAAATAATGAAAAGGGAGGAAGATAAAGAGAGGGGGAAAGGCGATAGCTTAGACACATTTCGCCTGCAGGAGTCTTGAATTATATGCTTCTCAGACTTGATATGAAAAAATATATGTAATGTGTTCCACTTTAAGTCGGCGGTAGTGCCTTTGCGGGTTTTATGCAAAGAAATGATAGATTTAACAAACAGCCAATTAAAGTCTAAAATGTTCCAAATCACTTTCAAGTGTAACCAACTGTTTCAAGGAGGAATCTAAGTAAAGGTGGCCCGGTCTTAAACGCTATGGAAATGAGCTTTAATATCGTCTCAATTTATCATTACTCAGCCAGTTTAGGACTGTTTTAGCGCATTAATAAGTTAATTACACCCTGTCGCTGTGTTTAGGGGTGTTAGTTTAGATATTACGAGTGTTAGAGGTAAATGATATCAATTCATCACTGAAGGCACCTTAAGAGGCGGGTCAATTGAGTGAAGTGACACATCATACAGCCAGTGCCGTGCCTCTTAGTGTGAGCTCATACATAAAGATTGACATGTGCTTTATCAAACCAGAAATCGGATCTTGTCTTTACAGCCAATATTGAAGTTGCTAGGGAGGGCACATTAGTGTAGGTAAGGTTTAATGAGACTCCATTGGATTGTAATCAGCGTCATGTCGGATTCATGTAAACTACAACATTGTAACAAAATGGCGACTGTTTAGGTGACATCAGTAATGCTGGCAACACTGTCATTTATGCGCTCAACTCAGCGGAACACAACTCTAGGTTTGTTGCGGAGTTATTATCGGATTCTTCTCTCGCTGAACGGCTCGGTGGTTATTTCTAAACGCGTCTTAGAGGTCTAACGGCAGCTGTCAGGAAGCGAGCATTGATTATACATCTGTCATTAACGCTCGCGCTGATCAGTTTGTCGTTGCGGACGTCGAACTGTCAAAAGTCGCGTGCGGACAACTAACGGTTAAACTTTACAGCGCGTGATGTGGCCCTTCAGTGTTTTTTAGTCGTTTTATTTATGCGTGTTTGACTTTAACACGACACGGTGACATTTTGGAAAAGACGTGCTGCAGAAATAAATGTAAACTTGTACGCGGATTTTTCATGTCGTAGAGGGAGTCTTAAAGCGAAAATATGAATCTGTCTAAAAGGGCTTTTTATACTTTTATTAACTCGGTTGAAGTTTTGACATGCCTATCATTCTGTTCAAAGTTGAGACTATAAAATATTCCCCCTTTGAAAGGGACATCTGGTTTGGTGTGTGGATTATGGTGTCAGACTATGGATTAAGTCACTCGAATTTCTTTAGCAGCCATGACAGCTCCTGCATCTGTTTTTATCCATCTGTTTCTCATGTTTAAACACATTTTAAAGTCCTGCATTCCTATAGTGTGGCATATTTATTCAAGAAATAACCAGGAAATGTTGTAGGATTTATAAATGTACATGACCAAATTCTTTTCTCTTTCTCCTTTTGTAGATTTAATCTGGGATTAAAAAAATAAACCTCCAGGTCAGCTGGTGACTACCATTGTGGAATTTACCCTTGCCAACTTTTCCTCAAGTTAATGTGAGACACCAAGGATTCAGAAGAAGTATGTGGATGCTGGCGTGGAACATAACTTTTTGACCTTATAAAGGATGTGGATGTACCCAGTGTTCAGAAGTCAAAAGGGGGAATCTGTATGGATCACATTTTTGTCGGTTTAATTGTTTAACCATGGTAAAACTTGCGAACCCTCTGTACACGGAGTGGATTCTTGAAGCAATACAGAAAATCAAAAGGCAGAAGCAGAGGCCCTCAGAGGAGAGGATCTGTCATGCGGTGGCCACGTCGCATGGACTGGACAAGAAGACCGTCCTTGAGCAGTTGGAATTAAGTGTTCATGATGGCTCTATTCTCAAGGTTACAAATAAAGGGAGCGCCTCCTACAAGGACCCAGGAAATCCCGGGAGAGTTGGATCAATCCCACCTGCAAACGTATCTGTGCCATCAAAGGAATCTATATGGAATTCAAGTGATCTGCGCCATATCGATTGGAATAAAATACTTAAGAGGGCCATAGAGGGCCTGGATGATACCCATGGCTCCTCGCTAAAGAACATCGAGAGGTATCTGAGGAACCAGGATGACCTCTCAAATGTGGTTGATAACCCCGCTTTCCGGCAGAGGTTACGATTGGCAGCCAAGCGGTCGGTTAACAATGGGAGGTTGTTAAAAAATGGCCCGCGGTATAAGATCAGCCATGGCAGTGTGGAGGGAAGGGGCGCCAGGTGTCCAAGTGCTTCCCCCTTGGTTCTGTCATCAGTGACTCTCCTCCCACATGAGCGAGACCAGGTACACACACCTTGGCCTCTGTTGTTTTTTCTCCCACAGATTTCATCTCATAAGTCAACAATATGCTGCTGTGACCCGAAAGGGACATCCCAGTTACTAATATGGTGAAATTCCTGCTTGTTATTCATGTGTGTTTTTGACTCAGCTCTCACAGGTTGTTAAGTTTTATTTTTCAAGAATACAGGATGCTTTTGGGATTTAAACTGTGGCAAAATTTCCATCGTATCATTACCAAGCAGAATTGGTAAAGCTCCGGGCCACCGCTGAGCACAAATATGCTCAACAGAAATTTTACGATTGTGGTCTTAATCTTTGGGACTCCGACTTGGCAGGTCAGCAACGACGCCATCTAGAGTGTGTCCTTTTGGGGCTTGTGTTTCTGCTGGTCTCCATAATAAGAGAGCTTGGATAATCAGAAAGTCATGCTGACAGTGTGTGGTAGGCAGTCTGCTGTAGGCTTCCCACAGGTTATGTAACTCGAGCCTAATGACCTTAAGGGATGTGGCTGGCTGTCTTTCGAGTGGCAGAGCATTAGTGGACAGATTTGGGATATTTTGTTTGCAATTTTAAAGGGGGGATGGGCATAAACTAGTCTTAACAAACAGTGCTAAGAAATGGCAGCTGAAGTATTTGTGGTAGGACATGTGACCTTTGTTCCCTGCAGAGGAAATAAAGCCATGTAAACAAACTTCCAGGTTGCATTGTTTCCGCTGCGCAGGAGTGGTTTATAGTTTGCAGAGATTGTTTTGTGCTTAGCTGAAACACACGCTGCAGATAAATGTCTGCAAAATGACGGCACTTTGGTTCTTGCAATTTTAAAACACTGCCAAACGCAGGGGAGTGTTTCATGCAAAGTAGTTTCCATTGTGTGGCCCTAAAGTGCACTGTACAGTCATCTGGGTAGTTTGTTGTGAAGCTTTTTTGCACATCATGTGTGCATTGAGGGTTATCAAGATGAAGTGCGGTCTAATCGCTTATGCACAAGTCATGCAGCTGAAGTGGCGAGCAGCATCAGGCTATAGAGATGTCACCCTGCTCCCCACTAGTTTCACAGTGAATAATCAGGAAGCAACACCTTGATACTGCAGCCACAACTGTGACTGTGTCTGTGGTCAGGCCAAAAGTGAAACTGAGAACTGTTTAGAGACACAGTGTCCTGCAAGTGGTTCTCATAGCTGAGGAGGGCCTGCCTGCTGTTTTCCATTTGGAACATTTCAGCCTATCGCTCGCGGCCTGATGACATCACCTAGCCCGGTCCAGGTTTACAGATCACTTCAAAGGATGAGACAGCTCAGCCTGTTCAAGTTGTTCAAGCACAAGTGTGTGTGTATGTGTGTGCTGAGAATGAGAGATACTTTGAGGTAAAAAAGAGCAGTCTTGGTTTAGAGTTTATTAGACTCTAAAGACACTTTGGCAGGAACAAAGGCAAGGAATGAGAGTTTTTTCTCCTGCTGCGTTATGCAACCACTCCAGCTCTCTCTCTCTCTTTTCCTCTCTGTCTCTCTCTCTCTCTCTCTCTCTCTCTCTCACTCTCTACCAGCAGTTTTCTAATAGGACCCCACCCCCTCACTCAGGACAGCCTGCTCTTTTGAAGCAGCATAATTTCCTGTAATGTACTTAATTTAGAATCCCCAAGTAAATCATCAGCGTCTCTTCAGCTGTGTTTGTTTCTCTATTTTTCACATATTTTGTGCTCTGCAGATTGCAAATTGCTGTTGGTTTTAATCACCAGGCCTGAGAATATTCCTGATGGAAATTAATTCTCCAGTTCCTGGATTAGACTTCATAGCTCAGTCAGTGGAGACTTGTGTTATGAAGTGAATACTTATTAAGTATTAAAAAAAAACAAAAAAAACTTGCAGATCAGCTCTGAGCATTTCCTCCGTAGTAAGCACAGGCTGCATATTATCACTGATGTCTTATTAATCTTAGCTCTTTACATTAATTTTCCTGCATGAATCTGTATTAGTATTGCAGATATCTTATTTACTGTGTTATTTGGCCCAAAATCTGAGTAGAGGGGAATTTGTTTACACAGATGGAAATGAAACAAGTGGACTTTCTGCGCACAAATTATTGAAATATCTCCAAAACAAACCCAAACATAGATCTTTAAATAACTTTGGATGGGTTAAAAGTACAGTGTGTAGAGATGGGATTCTTCTAGACTGAAATGCTACCCTACTCATTCCTCTTATCAGTAAAGTGATGTTGGTCTTTGAGGACAAGAATCTCCTGTGATGCATGAGATCATGATTGCAATGCATGGACTTGTGAATAGAAAACCTGAAAAGTTGATATTTTGTCTATTGTGCAGATTTAGGCTCATTTGAAGTCAACAAACTCCAAACTATTGTTGTATTCAGGTGATTTACCACTAATTTTAACATAAACATGAATATTTCTACCTAGTTTTTTTCCTTTATGTTGCACACTGCCCCTTTAAAGTGTTAATCGGTGGGTTGACTGATTACAAAAATGGGATGTTAACATTTCCTCTTCTTAACATGCTTCTCTCCTCTGAGTGAATGTCAATGAACTTTGATGACCCCTAAATAGACAGACTCTGAGCTGTATGTGTATTGCAGTATGAATAGGATTGGATGTGTGCATTTTAGACCATCACATATCATCATCACTCTTGTTAGTCAGCTGTTCTCCTGCCCGGATAAAAACGGAGATAAAGTTATAGGAAGGCCGTGTCAGATAACCAGAACCAGTGTAGGCGTCAACCTGCAATATAAGCTGCACTCATCAAACCAATTAGACATTGTTTACCTGCAGACTCTGCCATCCTCTGTTAAGCCGTGTTGAACAAACTGTGCTCAAATTTGACTTCTAAGTTTGTTCAAACCTTTAGAGTCGTCAGCTCGTCAGGATTTAAGTTTCTGTTGAAATAAGTTGCTGCAGAGGATCCTGAGTTCATATGTCGGGCTGCAAAAGTGTTAAAAATATTATTTTCAGTCTGCAAAATATCTGGAAAAACAATTTTTTATAAGTTTGAAGTGCTGCAAGTGTTGTCTTCTATTTGGTTCTGTTGGTTTGACTCAGAGTCTGACCAAAGTCTGATTTCGTAGTTTGATGCTGACGTCTTTAGAGAGAGTTTTCAAATATGCTGGAATGAAAATCAGTACAAATTATAACTCATTATTTCCAAAAGGTCACAACAAGATGCTGACTTAAATACTGGAGGCTGTTTTTGTTCATTTTAGGAAAATATACCAACACTGATGTACCTGCAACAAGCTCATATCTGATAATCTGTCTGATAAAATCACCATCCATCGTGTGTTCAAATCAAGACTTTAATTTTTAAACGTTTTTAAGAAGTCAGAGCTGGATTTTTTCCATTGCTGAGTTATTCAAGCACTGGTTTTTGTATTCTATTACTCATCTCAGGGTTATTTTTCTGTCATATTTTTCAAATTCATGACCAAACTGGAACCAATTTGAGTCCAAAAACGTGACACAATACCAATTTCGCCTATTTACCTCTGAGCCAGTGTTTGACAGCGTCTCTACAAGTGCGGCCTCATCGCACAGCAGCATTTCACTGTTTTTTTTATCCCTACATTCACAGCTGTGTGGAGCCGCAGACTGCTTCTAATGCCAGAGCCTGCTCACAAATATTGACCTGGCAGGTTGGAAAATAGAGTAATCATTGACGTGGCAGTAAACTGCTCCCCATCACCGTAACAACTAATTGATACAACAGCCAGGAAGGATGACCAAATCCCCGCTGGATCCCGCCCCCTCTCGTCTCCGCAGATTCATAGCAATAGCAGATACTCACGTCTTGTGTTTGTTGATGGATGGAAAAAATAAACAGTTTGTCCTTTAATTCAACTGTAGGTCAGGACTGATAGAGATTTGGAGGTTGCAAATGTTGTTGAGGTCAGGATGCTGATGTGCGTCATAGAAACCGGGAACTAATTATGGGCATCCCCAGAGTGCCCTTCAAAGCTCCAGTCAATCGACGAGGCCTTAGTGTGTAAACTGATGATGAGGTGGGTTATTTATGGTCACACCCAGCGAGTGTTATTTTCCGTTAAGAACTTCCTCTTGAGCAGAGAACGAGGCAGCAGCAGTTTGTTTGATGCTCCTCTGGAGGCTCTATGATCTCATATTTTCAGGGACGCCTTATGAAAGCTGTATTATATGTCCATGTGAGTTTATCTGGGGCCGTGATTGGCTCATTTTCCACCGGCTGTGTTTATGAAGAGATGACACTAACGGTTGCTCTGCGAAGGCAGCGCCGCTTCGTTCTCGGTGATCAATGGGAAAATCCTCTTAAACCTTGAGCTCATATTTCACTTCTTCTGAACTTCCCCGTAAGCTCTTAAATGAGTGTTTGTTCTGAGACTTGCAACATTTACAGTGGATCATGGCAGTAACAATGAGAGCATGTTTTATTATCGAGGTAATTTGATTACATGCTGGTTAATCCTTTCAGACTGGAGTGCAAGCTTTAAGAATTGGATTAAGCCCTTAAACTATGATTACTAAGATCACTTACTCATTCAGATGTAATGGATAAAGGAGGTGGATCTCAAGCGAAGCATATCTCTGAGGAAGAGATGCATTTATTATTCATATGTAGTCTTTTTCATTCTCTGAGCTTCAAGTTCATGTTGCTGTTGCTATTTCATTTACCCACACGCTGGTTTTCATCTTCTGGCTTTGACAATATGTCTGCAGTGATCTCAAAAATCCTCACAAGATTAAAAAAAAAAGATATCAAAACAACAAACAGGCTTTCATACACGCACAGCCTGTGCCCGTTTCTGTGTTTTTAAACAGTTTGTCTCTGTTTGTGTTCCCACCCAGCTCCGGGTCGACCCCATCCCAATATGCAGTTTCTGTCTTGGAACGAAAGAGTCAAATCGGGACAAGCGGCCAGAAGAGCTGCTGTCCTGTGCAGACTGTGGGAGCAGTGGTAAGTCGCCTTGTGTAACGCTTTCAGATTTTGGATGTTCTCACAAGCCACAACATGCTGTAGTCTGGACAAAACTGATAGGGTTGAATTTCAACAAAGACTCGCGAGCGTCAGAGTGAATGTATGTGAGGAAGAGAAGACACAAGGAGAAGAATTTTAGGACGACTCATAACATGTATGTGGAATATTCAAACTTAAAGCTCCTGAGAGCGAGGTTTTATCTGGTAATAAACAAGACTGAAAATGAAAGTGAGCTGAAGGAGACCAGCAACAAAGGACTGATTATTTCCACTGTGACTTGTAGGCCTGAAGCTGATAATAATAAATAATAATACATTTCTTCTCTTAGCACTCAAGGTCACTTTACAGACAAAAACAGTAAATAAAACAACAAGATAAAAGCAAACACAGTAAATATGATGCAGTGATTGATTTCACACTGTAGGCAAAGACTTTGTTTAGATATGTTCAATAGCACTGAGTCACAGTGAGTGGTAACATCTGAAAGTCGCTTTAAATGGTTTAAAAACATATATTCACATCAGTAAACATGTAGAACAATATCCTTCAATCTTTTAATTTGAATTTTTATGAAATCCTTTATTCAGACTTAAAAATGGTGGCATTATTGTAATGTTATAAATAGTTATAATGGTTGCGCAAGAACATTAGCAAGTCAGGCTGGATGACATGTGCAACACCTGTCAAGAAAATGATGTAGTTTGCCTCGTGTTTGTCTCGAAATTGCATCACATTTGTATGAAATCCTCCAAATACAGGATTTTTACAGGGTATGCCTGCGCATTAATTTGGAGATTTACTCGCAGTAACCTCGAATGTTCGAGATATCAACATTACGAGGATGTAAAGCTGTAGGAAAGTCTTTGATTATATATAGATTTCCGTTGTCTTTGACTACTCGGTTCCCTCTCTTATCCCCCCGGCAGCGGATCTCACCATCAGTTAAACAGATGTCACATTCTTGCCCCACATTTTTCACTCCCCTTTAAGGGATTTAATGGAAGAACAATGTTCCAATGGAGTGGCTGGAGGGATCCAAATTGCTCGCAACCCTCGGCGGGCTGAAGAAGGGCAGATGCTCCATAAGTGGCCGTTAGAATCTGAAATCACCCGAGTCATTTTCGCTCAATTCATATTCTCCTTATAGAGCGAAGCAGCCACAGCGGATCAAAGATCATCCCTTTTCCTGCCGCAGATTGGTGGCATTTCCTTTACTGTTCTTTTGTTCCAGATAAAACTGCTAACCCCCCATAAAATTACCTCTGCCAAGGAGTCATTTATGTTTGAACAATTATTTTAAATGCCGTAAGGAATTGTTCTCCTGGTGACATTTTTATAGCTCAAATTTGACTAAGTAGCGTCGAGGTGGTTTTCATTAACTGCTCCTAGTGTACACAAATTGTGCTCTCACTGTAAAACAGCTGTTTTACAACCATGAGAGGGAGCTGGGTGAGGGAGAAGGCGAGCTTTTACATGACTTTCATGGATCGGCCTCCATTAGAAAGAGTGCTGCTACTGTTTCTGCCTCATTAAGATCAAATTATCTGTAATTAGCGGCTCAGATGTTTGATCATACTGTTTTTTAGACACAACTTGTGGCAGGGGGGGAGAAAAGTGTTGCGGACACACAGGCTCGCCATTGTTTTTCATGATGTAACATGTTAATATTTAACCTCGCTGCGTGGATGAATGGAAAGGGGGGGTCTCTAGCTTTGTGACACTGTCAACGCTCTTCAAAATGTGATGTGCTAATGCGTGTTTTTCCATTGCTTCTGAAGGGCATCCGTCATGTCTGAAGTTTTCCCCTGAATTAACCTCAAATGTGAAGAGATTACGATGGCAGTGTATTGAATGCAAAACCTGCAGCTCCTGTCGAATACAGGGGAAAAACGCTGTGAGTATAATGTCCCATACAGACCATTTTCAGTGTTGTTAGCTCGGAGGTAGATCTCATTTCGTGCCTCCCTGAGGATTTGTTGGTTTTCCCTCACATTTGTAAAGCCTCTCTCGTGCACGATTGGGCTCATATTTCTCCAAAAGATTTTAAATGACAGGGGGGGAGTGTTACATGTATGCAGCGGGGACATCCCTTACACATGCCTGCTGTTTCCTTTCAGGATGAGATGCTATTCTGCGATTCATGTGATCGGGGCTTTCACATGGAATGCTGCGACCCGCCGCTTTCAAGAATGCCAAAAGGTGAGGTGTTTACACTGTCTGGCTTTCTCTCTTTCCCTCTCCGCTGTCATTTCAAAGCCTTTTCTTCACACACGGCCGTTTGGGGCTGTCACTCAGCACACAGAGAGGCAGCGGTGGCTTATTAGGAGCTTTGCATGCATATCAAATTATTCCAGCATCCCCGGGGAGATGTGCTATCTCTGGATTACAGTACTGACCCTACAGCGAGGCTTGTAATGATGGTGCACGTACTGTAGTAGGACATTTGGCAGGCAATTCATACAAGTCACATAGCTCTGCCGAACAAGCCGACATGAAGTCTATTTCACTGGACAGAGAATTGACCCAATGTTTTTCTTATGGATTTTCGCTTTGTGCTGAGTAATTGATTGTCATTGTGAGCCGGCGGGATGTTCGCCAGCCCTCTGTATTAAAGGAAATGTTTCGAATGAATGTACTGTATGTCCTCTGAATTGATGAACCCACCTAAACGGTCCCCTTCTCTGTGTTTGGACACCCTCCAGGAACCTGGATCTGCCAAGTCTGCAGGCCGAAGGAGAACGGGAAGAAACTGCTGCACAAGAAAGCCGATCAGATCAAACGTCGATATGCAAAGCCAATTGGAAGGCCCAGGAATAAGCTCAAACAAAGAATGTAAGCGTGCGAAAAACCCCGAATATTAACTGTTTCATTTTGTCCGAATCAGCTGCTAAATATGGTGGCATTTCAAAACAAGATAGACCTGAATATAACGGTGTCTGGTGCAAACATATATAAAAATAAGTAAGAGTAGATGAACCAAGAGTGGAATCCTCTGTATTAAGTGAAGCGCCACAGACTTCTTTGGTTATAAAATGGGCTCTAGCTCACGATTTAATATGTGTAATTAGATCTGCAAAATCTTTCAACAGTGTTATGAAAAGTGCTAATTTAAAAATTCATATTGACGTATTATAGTTTTGGATTAATGTGATTAAAGTAAGTAAGGTAGATGTAGCTTTTTGAGATCAGCCCTGTATATCAGCGATGAGGTTATTTCTGTGCTATACAAAAGCAGTGAAGTTAAAAGTCAGAGTGAAGTTTGAACTCGTAGAAAAAAAGTAGAAACACCCCTTTAAATGGTATTTTTCGTGTGTGTGTCTGCAGGTCTGTAACCAGTGGTGACGGCTCCATGGTAGCACTTGGAGGAAGGGGGTCACCTGGTAGGGGTCAAAAGATTACCGTCTGTCCTACACCTTCATCTGGTCATGCTGCATCTGTGAAGGACGCCAGAGACAGATTGGCTGTTGCAGACCCCTGTTGTGCGGTCGACGCCACCCAATTCACCACCTCCACCCCCACCACCACTCCCCCCCTCACGCCCACTTCCACCCCAGCTACACTCACCGTTAACAAGAAAACCAAAGGGCTTATCGATGGGCTTTCCAAATTCTTTACCCCCTCTCCCGTGGGCCGTCGCTCGCGAGCTGTCTCCGTAGACTCGCCCGCCAGTCAGTCGAGCTCTAGAGACCAGGGTGTGCCCAAACTGTCACAGCCACCAGAGCCGTTTGCCTTCGCTGCCGATGACACTCAAAAGATTACCCCCTCTTCCTCTGCACTTCCTCCCGCCCCTACGTTGCCAGGCCTTAGTCCCCCCTCGCAGGTGTCCAGCAGCTCCACCTCTGCTAACTCCCCCCAGAGCTCCTCCAGCCAGTCTAGCGTCCCCTCCCTGAGTAGTCTCTGCAATAGCAGCCAACTTAAAGGACTATTTGACGGACTCTCTCACATTTTTACAACTCAGGGACAGTCGCGGAAAAAGAGACTACACTGCTACGCCCCCCCTAAGCGCATGCACCATAAGCAAGACTCCCCCCATGCATCCAAAATGGGGCCCCAGCGCCTTGGGAAGAACGAGTTTCATAGAAATAGGTTACACTCCACGTCTGCTGGGCCAGGCCGACCCAGAGGACACCCGTTTAAGATGGTCAGTCATTTCAAGCGTAACCCCTTCCTTAAAAAGCACAAGAGGCTAGGCAGGCTGAGGTATAAAGTGAGCCCTCAGAAGGGAGCCCCCTCACCAGGAAAGGGAGACTTGACAGATGGAAGAATTAAGCCTGAGAATAATCATGGTAAGCAAGGCTTGCAACTCCAGCCAAGACCTGCGTCTCCACACCTTTAAGCTTCTTCTTTATTTATTTTTTTAAAAGCTTGACACTCGCAGTTTTTTTCATTTTTTTGTATTCCAGACTTAGAGCTAATCTTTTCTTTGAGAGGACACCCTCAGCATCCTAACAGACTACTAATCTTCTGCCTAATTTGAATTCTTTTAGTTTCTTAACCCAGTTTCGTTGCGTTTTTTGACTTGGCTGCGGAGTTCACGTGGCTTCCATCCTCTCGCCCGTTGGCTTTTTGTCATAGTGCATGGCCCACTAACTCCCTCATGTTGCTCCTTGCTCTGTCCTTGACCCCTCTGCAGTAGTGCGCACGTTGTGATCGCTACCCAGTAGAGGCTGTAGTCACATCAGCGCTCTTCTTCCTCATCCCACCCTCACCCTTGAAATCTCTGTCTCCACTCAACCTCACTTCCAGCGGTCATTAGACACATACAACCCAGTGATTCACCCACCCCAGTTGACTCAGAGCTGACATGATGATTATAGCCAGGAGAGAAGTAACCCTCACATTTCACTGTCTTCAGGAGCCAAGTCACTGCTTAAAAAGAAAAAAAAAATAACACGCAGCAGAAACGAACGGATATACGTTTCAAGCTGTTCGAAACAATAAACTGCATAAACACTTATAACCCCAAAAGCACATTTCCATAAATATGTTAATGACACATCACGTCCATTTGTAATGGCTTTTTGTTTTGGTGGTTAAGTCACAATGTTGATGTCTTTCATTAAATTACTGCCTGCTTTCCAACATCAGTTGCTTTTCATGTCTACACTCGCTCCCTTCACTGCATCCGATTTCTTCATTCATGGGAAACTGTCTTGGTGGATGACTAAGCACATGAAAGCAGTTACGCAATTAGAGTGATTTAGTTTCACTTCATTACATTAGGGATTTTCATATAAACATGCAAAGATGATACATTATGAAATTCCTCAGAGACACGGCCTCAAACGGGCTCAGCAGCAGCACTCTCAGTATAAGTACATTTGCATAGAATGCATTTATGAGATTATTCTGCCACGGCTGCTTCAAACAGGCCGAGCGTTGATGTGCTATCTGATGTGTTGATGTTGTTTTATTGTGCCGGTAACAGGCCACAACGGGGAGCTGCGTGTGAAGCAGGAGACTCGAGTGGAATTCGCAGCCATGTCCAGAGACCACGTCACAGAGGAGGACATAGAGACATTCATGCGTGTCCAGGAAGTGGCTGCACAGGTGATAAAATGTGCACACACAACAACATGAATTTCTGGCTCGAGTTGGCAGTTTATGCACTCAGTTTGAACTCGATTTTTATTGATTTTTTGTGATTTTTTTTTTTCAACTTATGCAAAGCGCTAGTCTTAGGCAGCAAAAAACCTGTACAGGTTTCCAGGAGTCCTTGAATGATAAGTCCTAGTGATTCTTGCAAATTTCCACACCGTGGTATGAATAAAGGTTTATCTTATCTTATCTGTCAAGTTTCAGTCAGATGACTTTGGTATTTTATGAATAGCTCACATAGACAACTGACGCAGACAGGAAAAAGGACTAGATAACTCGAAAATACCCACACAATTTTCCTCTGATGTAAGATAGCTCTAATTATAGTTCAATGAAGACAGGTTACTAAATTTACCTCTAAGTGACAGCCATGGAAAGCAAAGCTATATTGGGCCCCCATGTGAGTGTGTATCGATCCAGGATATCAACAGGGTCTTAAAACATCTAAGATCCAATAATATAAATTTAAGGCCTTAAAATGTCTAAAATTCTCTTAAAATCTAATAAAATGTCTTAAATATGATTTTGAAATGTCTTAAAAAGGCATTAACTCTACTTACAAATAAATAACATGCCATAAGAATAAAAAATGTTACGCCTTAAAACGTCTAAAATTCAATAATATGAGTTTAAGGCCTTAAAATGTCTAAAACTCTCTTAAAATCTAATAAAATGTCTTAAATATGATTTTGAAATGTCTTAAAAATGTATTAATTCTACTTATAAATAAATCACATGCTATGAGAATAAAGATTGATTTGAAGTAATGTAAAATGTTCAGATTTCCCTTTATGTTATTTGTACTTTTATGCTAGTATGGATGTTAAATTAGTCTTAAATTGTATTCATGGTCTTTAAAAAGTCTTGAAAAGTCTTAAACTTGACTTGTTGAAACCTGCAGAGACCCTGTGATCCCACTGATCCTGTAGTGAATATGTCATCCTCTCATAAGCAGCTAGTTGAGCCAGAGTTGTAGCCCCACTCTTCACAAAGAGGCGGATCCCTTGTCCTCCAGTGTCTCACAAATTTTTATTCAAATGACGACATTTAACCTGCGACAGTTTTAGAGTCTCAGAGTATTGTTATTTTGAACTTTGTACCACCAACATGGACGCTTGAGTAAGTCCTGGAGTAGCTTTGCAGTTTGATGCTTTAAGCCTGTATGTGGGTTGCAGAAAGTTGGTCGCTCGTTGACGTGTTTATCGCGTCACCAGTATCACTTTGAGTCCTTGTGGCCGACATCACTGTACTCGCCTTTTTAATCATACTTCCTCATTTGTTCAGCGCTCTAGAGACCAGTAAGTTCGCATTAACTTCTTGTTACTCTCCAGCAAAATCAGACAAGTGAGTGCCATGTGACACCGGCAAGCTCTGTGTAGTGCACCATGGGTAATGCATTTAAAGTGCTATTATGATTCGCACAGAGATATAGGAAAGAGTACAAGCAGCTGGCAAGAGGCTTCAATAGCCCAGAAAGTCCCAATATGCCAAAGGGCTGAATGAAGAAGTAAGTGGAGGTCCTGCATATCAGAGCATACCAACCCACTTGGAGTTCACATTAAATCTCAATTAAAAGTATTACCTTCATTTTCAAGTGTTTAACTCTATTGAGCTAATTTGAGCTCTTTTTAATTGATTATTTTGGCAAGGCTATGTCCAGAGATGATAGTATAAAAGTGTACCCATCAGCAGGGACTTCAATATTCAACATAATCACTTTAGAGTGCTCTGCTGTCATATTTTTATCACCTTTTGTGTCTTTTAATAGACTGAATAATCTGGGCCACCATATTTATCCATTTGCTTTTATATGATCTTTTCACAGAGAACCGGATCTCTGATGAATACAGACTCCATGCGATGCCCTGCTGTCATTGAATTCGGGAAGTACGAGATTCAGACCTGGTACTCGTCGCCTTACCCACCTGAATATTCAAGGTAATGCTCCTTTTTAAATAAATCCTGCCCTTTGTTGCAGGACTCTCATTTTATTTCAATATCCTTTTTTAAAAACAGCCTCATGCTAACGCACAAACCCTGTCTCTCTCTTTTGTCTTGGTTAGATTACAAAAGCTTTATCTGTGCGAGTTCTGTCTGAAGTACATGAGAAGCAAAGACATCCTCCAGAGACACACAAAGAAGTGTGGCTGGTTCCACCCGCCAGCCAATGAAATCTACAGAAAGGACGACCTATCCGTATTTGAGGTCAGCTTCCCTTTACAGCAATAAAGCAATAACTGTATGCTGCATGAGATTCCACTGAATGGGTTCTGGGAAGAGGTGGGAGAGAGAAAAAATGGAAGCTGTTTGAGCACTGTCCCTTTTGCTCTTTTTTATTCCGTGTTTAGGTTGATGGAAATGTCAGCAAACTATTCTGCCAAAACCTCTGCCTGTTAGCCAAGCTTTTCCTGGATCACAAGACCTTGTATTATGATGTGGAGCCTTTCCTCTTCTACATACTTACAAAGAATGATGAGAAAGGCTGTCATCTTGTGGGCTATTTCTCCAAGGTAAGAATTACACAGCGAATAAATAGGAAATGAAGGAAAACCGCACATCATTTTCTTAAAACCATGCCGATACAGTAAACCCGTGTTTGTAACTTCTGTTTAACTTATTCTCTGTGGTGCTTAAGTGATCACGAAACGAAATCGATTAGTCAAGCAAAAGAGGCAAAAAATTTGTTGGCTCAGGCTACACGAATGTGGTGAACCAGCTTTTTTATATTACGGAGAATGAGTTTTCTGAAGAATATGGAGATTAAAACTGCAGTTTCACAAATTATCAAACAATTGAGATGTTCCTTTAATAGTGCCATAGGGGGAAATTCCTTTTTTTTTAAGATAAGGTATATATATATATAAAATAGGGGTGGGAGAAAAAATCGATTCACATAAGTATCACGATTTTTTGTTTTACAATTTTTTATCGATTTTTATGTTCAAAAAACAAATTTTTCTTTTTTCAAATTTAAGAATACATTTTAAGAAATAGTCAGTAGGCAATAGTAGTAGTAGTAGTAGCAGTCGTTTATTCAGTCATGACGACACCAAATGATGTACACAATATTGACATTTTACACAAAATCACTAAATCAAGAATCATGTGTTGAATATTGACTGATAAGGCAAAGGCAGAAGCAGACTGCTTATAAAAGTCTATCCTGTGTTGTCAACTTTTTAGGCTACCGACCTCCAGAAAAGCAAAGAAACCAAAACAACAGATAATTATTCGCACTTAAAAGCGTCAAAATTAGCTTTACAAACCATTTTCTTAAAAACCAAAAAAGAATGACGATTTTAGATTTATGTTGGCATCATTCCAGAATTTAACTCCAGTAATGGAGACACATCTCCTTTTCATACCTTTTTTAGCTTTTTGTACAGTAAATAATCATTCAACTGTTTCACTGGTGTTAAAAATGCAGACTGAATGTCGAGAAAATATCGTAGAGTCGCAATTTAAATCGAATTGGCATCCAAAAAATCGTAGAAGAATCAATCCGGGAGAAAAGCATATCGTCCCTGCCCTAAAATATAAGGTATATAATAAAAATGATGTATCTTAACAATAATAATAATATAATAATCAAAATGTTAAGTACGATACAATAATATGATTCGAGTGTAAGCACAACATCCTGTATGTGAAGCAGACATGAAGAAGAAAAAATGGTTGACCCAAAAACGCCAATTAAGTTTTGAATTTTTGGATAACACCAGGGGTGGCCAATCGACTTCAAGGGTGGGCCGGGCCACCCCTGGCTGATCACATGCCTGCCCCTGTATGGAGGCTAAATTCCTCACAGCAGCGGTCACCGGTTCAAATCTCAGCCTTGACCCTTTGCCTCATGTCACCCCCTCCCCTCTACTCCTCCACACAGCCTCTCTTTAACCGTCCTGTCCATTAAAAGACAAATCCCCCCACCCCAGTGGGTCAGTCAGTTTAACTCGCTGCCAAACCCACCAAGAAAACGATTAGGATTTGTTTGAGTCATAACTCAGAACAGACTCATAGTTTTTAGTGAAGCTCATCACTCTGTCTGCCCAGGCGTGCGCGTCTGCACGTGCACGTCTGCAGACAAGGACAATGGCAGGTGCAGTAAATTGCCAGCTTCAGCAGAGCTCTGACATACTTGATCTGTTTCTCCTTCCCTCAGGAAAAGCTTTGCCAGCAGAAGTACAATGTCTCCTGCATAATGATCATGCCTCAGTACCAAAGGCAAGGATTTGGAAGGTTCCTTATTGATTTCAGTAAGTTCTTTTAATGCTTTTTAGACCACTACACTAAGGTATTTTGATTCTTTCTCGTTGGGCTTTACAAACACTTTCAGATTAAGGGCTGATTTTGTAGCTTGTGGCAAGGTGCTGTTATTTGGTTAAGGCTTTGAAGGAGCCCTAATCAAGAGCATTCACGTACAGTGCTTAGACAATCATAGAAGATTAGGAGTTAGAAACATTTTGTTCTCGCTGCATACATTATCGGACGGCCAGGAGTACTCTCCTAATCACTGCTGGAAGAAAAAGCCTTCTTTCTGTCTCCTTGACTCGCGAGCAGGTGTAGAAGCTGCTTTTATGTTTTAGTCCAGTAAATGCAGCACATACAATATTTAAAGCCTTGCGGTCCACATATGAAAACAGTTGCTGCCTTGAGTGGATTTCTGTGTTTAGGCAGGCAGTTTTTCTCTGTCGTTATAGGCGTTTTATTGTTTTCAGGAGTTGTCTCTTTGCCGAGTTTGTGTGCGATGAAGAGAAGGGAGAAAAAAAAAGGGGAGCGAGCGCAGGGTGGGCGGGCGGTAATGGAGCATTTGATTTCCTGTTCACTTTGGGAGCCATTGAGACACAGAGATGCAAGAGGATCTGTGATATTGAGAGTGTGCTGATAACAAAGACAGGGATTAAGGGAGATTGAACACAGCTGAGTCCTGAGCTCTTTGAAGGCTTTATTGGAAAATGTAGCTTTGGAGCTGGAAGTTGTTTAGATTAAGATTTTCTGTTATATTGGATTGTATTAGAGGAACAGTTTGTCTCAGGTAGCTCTGCGAGAGGAGCTCCAGCGAGCGGGTGAAAAACGCTCTCTTTCATATCATTAACCGAAGGACTCCGAGTGGCTCTTTTGTATCAGCGTATTAATGATAATATACTTGTTAAATGACACTGAATGAAAAATGACGTTTTTTTAATTAAATATTTGAATATTCATCGCTAAGTGTTTGTTATCACAGCCACTTCTTCCTAGCTTTAGTAATGAATATTGTCATGATTACTGGAATATTATGTGTTCACTGTTTGGTGATTAGATTTGCTTGTTTGGTTCTCGGTAGTGGGTGCACATTAAAAGCCATTAATTAATTTCATGCGGCTCATAATGGATGACCCTTGACAGGGCCGCTATAAAACTAATTACTCACAGATACATATTAGTATTGGGTTTTTTCTTGTTCGTTATCTCCCCTAAGTGCAGTCTCTTGTGAGCAATGACATCCAGCTGCTTCTCTGTTGCGCTCTGTCGCTTTGTTTCCTCTTTACTCCCCTCTTTCAGCCTCCCTTTGTCGCCCTTGCCAGCTTGTATGATAGTGTCTGACAGAGGTTGAAGGAGAGGAAAACTGATTGCTTTGCCGCTCTTTATACTATTTGAAGGTGAAATCCCAACCAGGGTTTGGTGTCACATCCTTACATGAATATGTAATCTGTGAGGGAGGGGGGGGTGTAGGGATTGAAATGCAATCTGAAATCACCCAGCAGCAGCCTCCAGCTTGACTAAAGCATTTTGTTTTTGTTTGAATCTTGTCTTTTTAGGTTACCTTCTCACCAGGCAAGAAGGACAAGCCGGCTCCCCGGAGAAGCCGCTGTCAGATCTGGGTCGCTTATCCTACCTGGCATATTGGAAAAGTGTCATACTGGAGTACCTTTATAAGCACCCGGATAAACACATCAGTGTTAAAGGAATAAGCAGGGCCACTGGGATGTGTCCGCACGACATCGCCGCTACTCTCCAGCAGCTTGGCATGATTGACAGACAGGATGGCAGGTCAGTTTCCGTGGCGCAGTCTCCTTCAGCCTGTGCCGCCGCTTCTGCACGCTGTCTGACTTATCCAGGCCAGCGGGTATTTTTAACAGCATATCCATTAATGCCGCTGAATATTGACAGAAGTAAGTCAGGTTAAGCACCCCCAAGGACATGGAGCACCTGCTGTCTCTGAAAGCTCGTCTTTGTGCTCAAATTTAACCACACATCACCTTCTGTCTACCGTCTACCGTGCAATCTTTACTGGACATGAACTCATGGGTTTTTCTCTCTGTGACCTAGGATTGTGCTGATCAGAAGAGAGCGATTGATTCAGAGGCACATGGACAGCCTGAGGGCTAACCCACGGCAGAACGAGGTGGACCCCGACGCCCTGCGCTGGACGCCGTCCACCACTCACAATGCAGTCCTGTCTGAGGAGGAGAGGGAGGCAGAGATGGATGTAGGTTGAATCAGGAGACACTAGTTGTTTGTTTACACTTGCCTACAATGCTATTACTGGATGTTTGTTTGATTAGCTGGAGAGTTCAAACGGAGGCCATTACCAGGAAAAGCATTCTCTCTGTCAGCAGGCACTTAATGTTGTGCAAAATTGCCCTAAATCAGTTCACTACATAATTGATAGCGCTGAATATTCCATGAAATGCGATCCTTCCACGGTTGCTTAACGAAAATGTTTCCTCCATGACGGGCAGACGTCCAATCGCGACGCTTCTTTTATTATCAGGAGGAACCTGCAGCGATTCATTTGTCATGATGTTAATTCCAATCCCTTGTTTTCCCATTAGCCTCATTGCTCAGATGTTGGAGCCGTGCGTGCGTGCGTGCGCCTCTCCCAGAGATAATGCGTCTTGTCTGTTTAATTACCAGGCTGAGCGGCTGAAGGAGCAGGCCAGTTGCTGGGAGAAGGAGGAGAGAGAGGGCTTCATGATGACTCACGGCGGCAGGCAGCCTCTCACTAAAGTCCACTGTAAAGTCCCCTTCCGGACTTACGAACGGCGCCCCGCGCTCTCCTGGACCAGACGCATCCAGCAGAAGCAGGAAGTGAGCGACGAGGATGAGGACGCCGATGATGACGACGACGATGATGACTCCGACGGCTCCGACGGCTCACCACCCATCCTGACAAAAGCCCATGCGATGCTGGCAGCCAAGAGAAAGGTGACTTTTCCTGTTTGTGGATGTGAATCATGTTCTTGTGCATCACCTCCAGTCAGCTGTTCTCCCTCGTGGGTTAATCTTATTTATTATGTGGAATTTTATTATAGAACAAAGTGGGGTTGAATGTATATCATTAGATATTTTCCTTCATTAGGGACCATGTTGTGTACTCTGGTGAGATGGAAAGGTTCGATAAATATTCATGAATTCACTGAAGGGTTCAGTGGCTTCCTCCTGTCATCTGGAGCCTCCCTGTGTGCCTGCAGCTGTAGATAATAGATTGTGTTTTCACTGCTGGTGTCGAGGCTGTGCAGCCTAAACCTTGTACTATTGTCAATGGTCATGGTTAATTTACTGCCCTCCTCGGTGCCTCTCACATCTTTTCCGTCTATATGGCACTGCCCCCTTGTGCTGGAGATAATATTACAGCCGGCTGCATGATGTCAGGGGGACCTTTTCTCAACAAAAACAGCGTAGAAACCAGGAGAGAACGACACTGGCTGTTAGAGTTTATTTAGTGCATTAGTTACAGTATTGATTTCACATTCCTCTTGTGGAGGATTTCGGAGAGGAGAGCGGTTGAGTCGAAGGCAGCCGGTGGGAAACAACTGGAGTATGTAAAATATAGACTGTGGTTTCTGCTTACTCTGCCGGTCTCATTTGTGGTTTTCCACAGCAGGCAGCATTGCTTAACCATTTAGTCTCGCATCGTGGTTTTTAACATTTTACATTTAGCACAAAAAACAAAAACAAAAAAAAAAAGCCTGAATGAATTTCTGCCGAATTCTCGCAGAGGTCATCCAACTGGTGCCCCAGTTTTAAGACTTTACAAAAGCCGCTCAAGGTTTGATTCTGTTTTTTTTTTTTCATCTGCCTCTTCTTTTATTCGTCTTTCAGAGAACCATCGTGCTCAAGAAGAGAGGGCGTAAGAGAAAGAGAATAAACAGCAGTGTTACAACAGAAACCATCTCCGAGACAACAGAGGTGCTGAACGAGCCGTTCGATAACTCAGAGGATGAGCGTCCTATGCCCCTGCTGGAACGCACCTGCAGAGTGGGCGAGATGGAGGAAGAAGAGGAGGAGGAGGAAGAACAGGAGGACAAGACACCGATTACACCGATGAAACGCCGAAGAGGCCGCCCGAGGCTAGAGAAGAATGCACAGAAAGACAATCTTGAGCACTGGAACGAAGGTATTTGCATCTTCTGTTGTCGTTAAACTGTTTTATGTGAAGTTTTTTAACATCTGGTGAAACTTTTAGATGTTCATGTGTCCGTATTTCGTCCTCTAGGAGCTGACATCCTTTCTAAGAGACCCAGCAGACCTCGTCCAGTGAAGCGGAAGAAAGGCTGGCCAAAAGGAGTGAAACGTGGCCCTCCTAAATGGAGATTAAAGAACGAGCGGAAAATGGGCTTCAAGCTCAACCTCTACACCCCCCCAGAGACCCCGATGGAGGCGGAGCAGCACCACATTCAGACCGAAGAAGCGAAAGAAGAACCCGACCAGGACATTGCTAGTGCAGACGAGGGCAGCAAGGCGGGCAGAGGGTCAGCGAGCCCGGATATGATGCTGGACAGACTCCCCTCTGAGCCGTCAAGTCCCGCTGACCACGGCTCCCATAAGTCGAGCTCTCCTGAGGGATCGCCGGTGGTTTCCCCCGTCTGCTCACCTGCGTCTCCCGGCGCGGTGTCGCCCGCAATGTGCGAGGACAGAGGAGATTCCCCGGACCCACCTGAGGATGACCAACAAGAGAGCGAACACGGGCAGGACTCTCCGGCCAAAGATGTGGAGCACATAACAGAGGGCGCCGTATCGCTGGAGAATGACAATGAGGAAGAAGAGGACGAGGAGGAGCAGAGAACCCGAATGGAGGATCAGGATGCGGATGACGAGGATGACAGCCACGGCAAGACAGCGGAACCTGAGAGCAGCAAAGCGGAGCTGGAAGAGAGCTTGAAAGAAACGCCTGAATGCACTCCACCTTTTTTAGATCCAAAAGAAGACAACGACTCGGAGTTGAGTCAGCAGGTTTCTACTGTACCGAGTAGTGAAGAGGACCCAGCCGCTGCTGCAGATGGCAACCAGGAAGCAGTGACGGAAACTACAGTAGCAACACCAGCACCTGAAGCAGTAGCAGTGGCGTCAGTAGCAGCTGCAGACTCTGATAACCCTGCAGACTCTGAGTCAGAGGAAGAGAGCACGCCCAGTCCTCGTCCAGACCCCCCACCTCCTCCGCCCACAGAGAGGCCACTCAGTCCTGTGCTACGGGAGAATCCCCCGATCTGCGCGGAGATTGACTCAGAAACAGCCCAAGCTGTTCAGTCCCTGACGCAAGAGACGGAGCAGGAGAATGTGTTCCAGGACTGCGTGGAGAGCCAGGAGCCCTGCAGGAGCCTGCAGACCTTCACCCATGTGCCCCAAAGCCCCCAACTCACTGCCCTGGATGACTGCCCGCAGTCAGACCACAGCAGTCCCCTCTCCTCTGCACAGTCCCACCCCAGCCAGTCAGTACGCTCCGTCAACAGCCCGGCGGTCTCCATCCTGGAGAGCGGCTACACTCAGATCAGCCCCGACCACAGCGCCATCTCAGTGCCCTCGCTCCACAACATGGAGACCAGCCCCATGATGGACGTGCCGTCGGTGTCGGATCACTCTCAGCAGGTGGTGGACAGCGGCTTCAGTGATCTGGGGAGCATCGAGAGCACCACTGAGAACTACGAGAACCCGAGCAGCTATGACTCCACCATGGGGGGCAGCATCTGTGGGGCAGGCCCCACCCAGAACAGCTGCTCGTACAGCAGCATCCCCCCCAGCGGCTTGGCCCAGAGCAGCTGCGCCGTGAGCCAGCAAATGGCCGCCGTCAACCCCGGCAGCTGCGGCATGATTCAGCCAAACAGCCTGAGCTCGCCGCCGCACTGCAACGTCAAGTCGCCGCAGGGCTGCGTGGTGGTGGAGCGGCCTCCCAGCAACAGCCAGCACAGTCAACACAGTCAGCGCAGCCAACACACCCAACACTCTCAACACAGTCAGCATAGCTCCCACAGCAGGCATGGCCCCCACAATCAGCACAGCCAACACAATCAGCACGGTCCACACAATCAGCTAAGCCAGCACAGTCAACACAATCCCCACAACCAGCATAGTCACCACCACAATCACCACCTGCAGCACAATCAGCTCAGCCAGCACAATCAGCACGCTCAGCACAGCCTTCACAATCAACACAGTCAGCACAGCCAGCAGCAGCCCATGGCGCAGTGTGCCATCCCCACCAACTTCACCACCACCATGCAGCTGGCAGACATCCCCGAGTCTGGCAATCCAAACTTCGCCCTCTACGAGAGGATCAACCACCAGGGGGAGTACGGCAGCGGGCACTACTCCCAGTCGTCCGGCCTCAGTTTGGCCAAACTGCAGCAGTTCACCAACACGTTCATCGACCACCCTCACTCGCTGCCTTTCAACCACTCGGCCTCACACCCCATCACATCGTATGCAAACACGCCCTCGCTCTCATCGCAGCACTCCAGTCTGGTCTCTTTGTCCCAGACATCGCATCGAGTCCCCAACCCGCAGGTGCAGGCCACCATGACCCCGCCGCCTAATCTCAGCTCCCCGCCTCCCATGGTGCTCCAGCGTAACATGGGCATCCCGCCCTCGCAACGTATTCAGCCCCAAATGGCCTCTAAGAGTCACATCTCAGCACGCTCCAAGTCTGCCCCGCTGTCTCACCACCAGCAGCAGATGTACCCTCGGCCGCCACAGACTGTGGCCATGCAGGCGCCGTCCAGGACGCTGGCCGCCATGCCACGCATGAACATGGGCATGAACATCATGCCGGCGCCGGCCTACAACGTCAACTCCATGAACATGCCCTCCCTCAATGCCATGAACGGCTACAGCATGAGCCAGCCCATGATGAACAGCGGCTACCATGGCAACCATGCCTACATGAACCAGTCACCCCAGTACTCTATGCAGATGGGCATGATGGGAACACAGCCATACCCCCAGCAGCCCATGCAGGCTCCACCACATGGCAACATGGTGTACACTCCAGCTGGTCACCATGGTTACATGAACACAGGCATGTCCAAGCAGTCCCTTAAAGGGCCTTTCATCAGGCGGTAACTCTCCGCAGGACTGAGCTGTTTTTTTTTTTCTTTTTTTCTTTTTTTTTTTTTTTTCTCTCGTGTGCATTTTGCTGTTTAAAGATGCACTGATCTGGCCTTTTGTTGTTTGGGTGTCTTCTCGTTCTTGTTTATGACTTAAAAACCAGCAGCACTTGGAAAGAATGCAAAAATTTTCATCAACGAGTAAACTTTGAAGCTATCGTTAAAAAGTATTTTTGTTTCTCCAAATGGGAAGCCTTACATCATTACGATGAAAATCTATTTAATTAGTGTTAGTGTCTCTGATGTGTCTTTAGAGCGGGCGGGTTCAGAGCTCAGAGGTAGAGATTTCATCAGTGGTCTTGCAGTCGTGTAGCAGCCTCAAATGAAGCCATTTAATGTGCCTGCTACAAGAGGAGTTAGTGGCTGTTTGAACCTGTTCAGTGTACCTGTCTAACAGTGCTGACAATTAGTTTGTACTATACTCATGCCTTTGTATATTTAAATTATTGTACTTATTTTGTAAAGTGACAACTAGCATGCTTCAGTCTCTGTTAGTGACAGTGCATTGAGTAGTACTGTACAAGTGTTGTGCTTAATAGCAAGCCATTTTAAAGATATCTGGCCTTTATTAGGTTTCCCTCTAAAGGGAGAAAGATGAAACTATATTTTGTTAATTCTAATAATGTAAAAAAATGTAAACTTAGTCCTGTTTTCTGTTTGGTTTGAGAGGTTTTATTGCTATGTATGTATAAATCTGAAGTCTTTTGTAACAGATCTCCTTGAGGCAGCTTTCTGTTCAATAAAGCAGACTGATTTCTGTCGAAATAACAAAGCATATCTCAGTGTTTGTACCCTGAAAATTCTAAAACATTTCAAAATGTCCAGAAGTGTGGCAGAATTTAAAAGAACTAAATGATTATATTGACGAATAACAATAAAGAAGATATAAATTTAGTCCAAAGTTGATATTTTACATAATGCCTTTAAAGCTACGTTTTCATTCCATCTGTAGATTTGTTTTCTATCTTTATAAAATGTTGGATTTATATTTTACCGAAATGTAGAAGAATAGAGCCTGTGAATAGACCAAACTAAGCTAATGGATTGCATGTAAAACGCAACTTGTACTTGTGTTTTTGTTTATATTGCTCTTTTGTAGCCTTTGTACCTGTACAGAGTTGCTGGTAAGAACAGGGGGGAAATACCTGGCTATGTGCACAAAAATCAGACAGAATGACATTCTTGTATTTATGACTTTTCTCCTTTTGTCAGTTACTTAAAATGCTGTACATTTTAGCATAAGAATAAATTATGATTGACCATGTACTGAATTGTTCTCCTTTGATTTCTAACGTGTACTAGCCTGAGGCGTGTCCACTGAGCGGGGATGCAATGATAGAGTTTGAACTCCTAGTGATCCAGGCAGCCGGTCTCTCTGTAGAAATACATTTTTAAACTAGGGGGATAAATCTGACTCAGACCGGAGTGCGCTCAGACTTCAGTTTTTTGACCTTTAATCCCTGCTAATTTCAAGAAAAAGCATTTTAGCCTGAAGTTTTAAAGCCTGAAAAATCTCAGAAACGTTTGAAGAGAAATCTGAATGGAAAAACACAGAACAAATTGTGCGTAAAATATTTGACAGCACATTCAGAGGCCTCAAACACTCATAAGTACTCATGAAATTTGCAGATTTAGTCTTCTGACATGACTTACTCTTTCCCTAAAGGGACTGGACCTGACTTGAGTCCTGATCATGATTTGTTTTAATGGTTTGGTGTTTGAATCGAGTCTGACTCCGGTTAAAACCTCGCTCTAGAAACTGTTCTTGGACTTTAATTGCCTTGAACTTGGGATGGAAACTGCAAATTTGTATCAATTTGACCCGATTTATAACTTGGACTAGTCCTGTCTTAGACTCATTGTACTACTGATCTGATCTAAAATTGGTACTGAAGTTTAACTTTATTTAAGCTTAACCTGAACCTGAATTTAATCTAAACTCGAACTTTAGAGACTCAGACTTGTCTCCAATTATTTGAAATCTAATTTGGACTAGTGTTGATGGGAGCAATATTGGGACTCAAACTGGTTCAGAATGACTAAATTGTCTTTAAATGACAACTGGCTTTGACTTGGGTTATATTAAATGCAACTCAAAACAATCTTTAGCAGAAGGAACCAATCATAATGCTGGACTTTGACTTTTCCTGAATAATAGTGGACAATATTCAGACAAGACCAGAGACTTTATTTGTCCCAGATTGTTTGAATTTTCCCAAATTTCTCGACAGATCTGAGGTTCAATTCCTCCATGGAGCCCCACAGTCAGCTCTGCTCCGTCGAGTCCCCCCTGTCTTCCAGCAGCTGCATGTCCAGCTCTCTCAGCTGCTTCAGGAACCCCCAGTTGGGTATGATCCGTCTGCGTTTTTTCACATGATCGATGGCGTCGACCACAGTCATGTTCTCAAAGATCATGAGGTAAGCGAGGAAAAGCGTGGCGGATCGACTCCTTCCCATGACGCAGTGCACCAGCAGTTTATCTGCAAATAAACACACGACACAGTCAAGAAAAACTCAGATACAAGCTTGTTTTTGTCAGACTGTTGGCTGAAAATAAGTATCATTAATTCTTTATATTTTGGGATTTTTGCCGTCAAATTTTATTGGGTGCTCTCAAACTTTTAGAAACATATTTTTGATCAGTCATAAACTTCACATTCGATACTCTGTGATAAAATGTTAACAGCAGGGGCGGGAGATGATTATATAAAACCTGAACATTTTCTCAGAAAATGTACTCGCAAATGTTTTTCATTTCTGTATGCTCTGTATTTAAAACTCCTGTGGTTGTTGATCAAAGTTTAAGGTTGAATCTCTCAGAATCTCAGCACCTACTACTTTTTTTTCTATTAACTCGATACAGGGAAGGTTGAATTACATCTGAAAAGTGGTTCTCAGAATTTCAGATTTTCAAGGCTGCAGAGCGGCACAAAACAGTTTTCTTCATCATCCCTTACACTGAAGCTGAGGCGGATGTTGGAGAGCATTGTCAGTGCTTTCAATGCAATATACTGTACCCTTGAAAACCTGTAGCCTTCCTACTCGTAACTAACTCCTTCACCACAGGCTAATCTCTCAAACCTCCACTTGAATGTTGCAGGACAGTGGCTTTATTAATGGTGTTTGTGATTGACGTTACTTCTATGCGACGCAGTAAACAGAGAAATTTCCTCGCAGTTTGACCTTCCTCTACAGCAGTCGCATGTCCACATTTCCACAGCTAACAAAAATGTATTTGTGCCAGATCTCCAGTATCTATTCACTTCCTACAAATGCCTGTTTTATATCTAACCTTATACTCTGAACTTGAACTGTGCCGTGTTCCATCTTTGTTAGCTGCATCTTTTGCTAAAAATTGAACAAACTCTGTTTTCTTCATTTCTCGACTGATGAGTGACTAAAAAAAATAACAGTTTATGAAAATACTGAAGCAAGCGCTAGCCTTGCATTCGGACAAGGCGAGCACTAAAATAACTTCGGTAGATGTAGCCATCTTGTTTCTGCCTCCGATTTTGCTTTTTTCCGACTTGATAACTGAAATGCTGGTAACTGGGTGTGACTTAATTTTCAGCTCGGACTTCTGACTTCCGAGGTAACTAGAACGCAGCATTAGTCCTTTTAAAGACCCATTCCGACGAAAATCATGTTTTTCTTGTTTTTTATATGTTCATATGGAATTTTTCTGATGCTACAGGACATATTATGAGAAAACTAAATGCAAAATTGCTTTCTGAGTATTTCTTCATTCAAATCTCTGTGACTCTCTGGCAGACCCAAACACGGGTTCAAAAACAGTGAGATTTCATACGTAACCAATCCAAGCTCCGCCCCCAGAGCCCTGCTATGCAGGCCACACTCTGCATTTAGAGGAGAAATACTGAGGACGATCACAGAACAAGTGTGTGCGTTAGCGGATTGCAATGCTTAAGAAAGCTAATTATGATATAAGCTTTCATCGTTTCCCAAAAGATATCAGTGTCTAAGAGCTGAATAGCTGCTATGTTACCTGCCACTTTTACTACACAGGCAATGTTAGGCTGCAAGCTAATGTGATGACGATTTGCTGAGAACCGCCACTGCTGAAAATAAAAAAAAGAATGCAAAGAAAGATCCACAATGGAAGTTGCCGATGCAAAAGAAAAAAAAAAGAAACTGAAGCCCGCTGCAAATAAAAAACGAAACGGTGCAAAAAAAACAAACAAACAAACAAAAAAAAAACAATGGAAGTTTACGACGCAAGAAAAGTGGCATGGAAAAAAAAGAAAAGTCACTTACTGCGAAAATAAAAGGATGCAAACAAATAAAAGTTACAATGAGAGTGAGCTGCCGGAGACCAATAATGATGATGCACTGGTGTTTTACGATCTAGGGACAGAAGACGAGCGAGAAGACGAGCAAATAAGTTAGTGGAAAGGTTACTGTTTAATTTCGCTTCGTAAACTTTTCAGTGTGTCGTTTGGTTAGGCCATGTAGCGCCTGAGTCAATGTGAAGTTTAACTGAAGCTAACACTACACCAGCATCCTCCAGTTCAACTTCATAGCGACTCAGGCCGAAACAATGGTGCATCATCATTTTTGAACCCCGGCAGCTCATTTCCATTGTGGCTTTTTTATTTGCATCCTTTTATTTTTGTAGTAAGTAACTTTTTTTTTCCATCGCCACTTTTTTTTGCGTCGTTAACTTCCATTGTGGCTTTTTAATTTTTTTTTCTGCACTGTTTCTTTTTTATTTGCATCAGGCTTCGGTTTCTTTTTTTTGCATCTGTAACTTCTGTTGTGGCTTCTTTTTTCATGCATTCTTTTTTTTTTATTTGCAGCAGTGGAAGTTCTCAGCCACCGTACTAATGATCTACTGGAGCTCTGCAGAAGAAAAGCGCTTTTGAAAATGACACAGGTAACACGATTTTTGGTGAAAACTTCATAATCACAATTTAAAGACCACTGAGAACACTTGAATGTTAAAAAAAAACAATTGGAGTTGGACTTTAATGATAAAACTGTGTATCTTATCTTACTCTGAGGATTGCTCAGCGTTGTCTTTATAAACTTAGCAGCAGAGAAGAAATACTGGCTGAGGTCAAAGGTCGTGATGTCCTCTGCTACCACACCATAGTAGACAATGTCCATGTCACCGTAGTAACCAGCTCCTGTGTCCACATTATTCCACGTTCCTTCTGCTGCATTCAAGATGTGTGTAATCCCCATCTTCTTCAGATTATACTTGTCCTTTGCAGTCTCCCTGCAAGAAGCTGGTGTGAATATTATTTAATCCTCTTTTATTTTATTCAGTTAAGTGATTTTATGCTTTTTTTTTACTCACTCGTCTCCTATGTAGACATTGGGCCAGACCTCGTTGACATGAGTGTAAGCCACACTCCCACGGTTGAGGATTTTCTCCAGCTCATAGCCCCCAGGTGTGACATATTCATCCACTGGACTGGATTCCTTTGTTACATTTATCTTTGTGCCGGTCTTTGATTTGTGAGAAGCCATTTTCTCACAGTGGCTTCCATTCACACATGATTTGTTATCTTAACAGGGAGAAGAAAAACCACACTTGCTTTTTTTTTTTCCTGTCTACTTCCTCCCCCTGCAATCATGAAAAAAAAAAGGAGTTTTTGTTGTTTGTTTTCACATGCATCTCCAATTCCACTCACCAAGAGATTACAGTCCTCCCTTTTCCTACTTGAAAATTTTGTTTTTATCATCCTGGCAGCTTGTTGCGAAGCCGTCCTTAAAGGCAGAACATGGTGAGGTTTAATTCTGGCAGGCGCAGATTGTATAACCGCTCTGTGACGGGGCATCAAATGTGGGGGATATTTTTAGGGCTGTGATGTGGCGGGCCCCTGACCTTAGCTGCCACGTTTGCTGCCTGTGGGGAAAACTTCCACCCAGCCTGTCCCTGCCATCTTCTTCTAAACACACAACTTTAATCTCCGCTGCTGGCAGGAAGCCGTGCTTATCCAAACTTTGCACTTGCCAAAGGATACCCAAATTCACTGGAGTGAACAGGACACTCTGAGTTTTTGCTCAGCCGTGTGAGCGACTCCTTGAAAATTGTGTCAGTCTCTTTTAGCCTCTCTGCATATCTTCAGACGCTGGGAGAAACCGTGTAAGTGCCCGTTATGGATGTACCGCGTTTTTCTGGAGCCTCTCTCAGGGGCCAAACGAGAACTGAAATGTGTCAGACTGTTAGACAGATGAGGTTTTTCACAGGATGGCACATGTCTTTGATTCCCTGTTATATGATATGCATGGTCCATTCAGTGATCTAAATGCAAGCCCCCAAAGTGAGAGTGTGATGATGACTGTATTGCAGAACGGCTGGATGAAGCTGCTAACATGTCAGACAGAGTTTTCACACCATCAGACTCCTTTATTTTTCCCTCATATCTTCATACTCTGCCATCATTCATTCTGACAGTGAAATCATTAAACCTGTGATATCCAATTCCTTTTATTTTGACAGCATCTCTCCCTCTCTCTTTCTCCCAGTGTGCTCTGGAGAGCATCTCTTATTAAGATGGCTTCAGCGTTTCATCTCTTTTCAAAGTCTGACCTGAATCTGTATACACACTCAGAACCACGCCGGCATATTTTTATCATCTCGTATCAAGCCTCTTTAGACATCACAGTTTTAACTGTATGACACTGGGTTGCAGCAGTTAAGACACAGCATTTTCAGAAATGTGAATCTATAAGCGGAGCATTGCTTATTTATAGACTCATACTGTCTTTGTGTTGTTTAAGTACAGCAGGGGTTGAAGCAGTTGCGCTACATTCGGTTTAATGGCCTCTGTGATATTGATTGTGCAGCAAATTGGATGTTAGTAAAAAGAAACTTACCAGTGTTTCAGCTCCTTAAATACAAATCACGTTCACATTGTTGCTGACTGTTTTAAACTGCTAATTGCCCCGTTGTATTCCTCAGCTGCCTGGGATATGTTTTAGTTACTCTCCCTATCATTCCAGACTAAACAACTTTTAAACAATTACTGTGCTGAATGAATGAGTACAGTTTACAGAGGGGCTGATCTTACTGTATGTTTTGTCTGTAAAAACACATAGAAGTTCAAAAGTGTGGAGGTTTCAGACAAGTATCTATCCAGACTGTAACATATTTATCATTATACCACAGAGTTTAGTTTGTTTTTATTTCTGAAGTAATAAAAAAAATCATGTTTCTCCAGGACGTTTCAATTTGGAAGAGTCATATAGACGAGCTGTCCACTCCAGGCACCAGTTTAGGGCAGATGGCTAAACTATGAACTGCGGTGGCTGAGAACTGCCACTGCTGCAGATAAATAAGAATGCAAAAAAAAAAAAATCCACAACGGAAGTTACCAATGCAAAAAAAAAAAGAAACCAAAGCCTGCAGCAAATAAATAAATGGCGCAGATTTTTTAAAAAGTCACAACGGAAGTTAACAATAAAAAAATAAAGTGGCGATGCAAAAAACAAACAAAGTTACTTACTGTGAAAATAAAAGGATGCATATAAAAAAGGCACAATGGAAGTGAGCTGCCAGGGACCAATAATGATGATGAACCGGTGTTTTACGATCTAAGCACAGAAGACGACGGCACTCTTTTTTTTTCGTCATTAAGTTCCATTGTGGCGTTCTTTTTTTTTCTGCACCATTTCTTTTTGTATTTGCAGTGGGCTTCAGCTTCTTTTTTTTTTTCTTTTTTCTGCATCAGTAAGTTCCATTATGACTTCTGTTTTTTTTTTTTTTTCATTCTTTTTTTTTTATTTTTTATTTGCAGCAGTGGCGGTTCTTGGCCACCGTACAAAACAGTTGCCCCATGCACTTGTCATAAAAACGATTCCTAGTCTAGCATGATTTAATGCAGGTGTTTCTCCGCCCTCCCTCTCCACATTTCCTCTATCTCAGATTGTCCTATCAAAATAAAAGCAAAAAAAAAAAAAAAAAACCCTAGATAATCTGAAAATAAATTGAATGAAATTCACAAAAGCATTGTTTAAAATATTTTTTAAAAGTAAAGGATATGGACACACATGAGAAATATAACAATAGAGAGGATGCTGAGGGATAATCACATCTAGTCATTTGAGATGAGGTATGGATGATGAGTCTCAAAGAATTTTGGAAGTTATCAAGGTTCATGTTTGGATGATACATCTGAAGTCCTAGATGAGTAGCGCCTTACTAACTGCAAGTCTTCACTCATCCGAGACAAGACCTAGTCCTTGAGTACAAAATCTCTCCCAGTAATCTCCACTTGTTGAAGTTATGTTGTTTTTCTCCGCAGGGCCAAAGAACAGTCCAGATGACAGAGCTGACTCAGAAACCCAACATTTGGGAGAATGTTTCTGTGCCTGCGAACGGTCTCCACGGCCTCTACGAGTGTGAGTCTTTTTTTGATCATGAGGAAGGCTAAAACCAGAGCGGCCGAGCGGCTGATTCCTCGAGCACAGTGGACGAGAACTTTACCTGCACAAAGAAGAGAGACAATATCCTTTTAGATCTGAGCTTCCATCTTTCCAAATCTTAACTGTGGTGGACGTATTAGTCCAGACATTATTATTTCCTTATTTTAACAGAGGATTAGGGCAACATTGAAAAGACTGAATGTTTAGTTATCTTTTTTTATTAAGTACAAACTAACAAAAACCTCTAATTACTGATTTGAGTCCAGGCAGCAGGCTGTGTTTCTGACCCCCTCTCCAGAATGACAAACATCCTGATTTATTGTCTCAGCTTTAATCCCCTAAAAGGGTGACTTCATTCCCTTCATACTCTGACTACAATCATGTAAATTTGTGACTTTGTTTTTAAAATTTAACCACTTTGAGCTCATAAATGCAAAATTCTACTCAAGAAAGTTTACATCTTTGAGCTTGGAAAATTGTGACTCTATTCTCATGAATTCACAACTTCAATCAGATGAATTAACAGTTTTATTCCAGTAAATTTATAACTCTAATCTCATTAATCCATGACTTTGATTTTGTACGTGTCCAATTTTATATTGTAAATTTATGATATTACAAACTCCTTTAATTTGTGGCTTGATTCTCATAAACTTACAACTCCAGTCTGTTAATCAGTTGTTTCATTCTTGTTGGATTACACATTTTAATATTGTTGTAAATTGCCTACTTATACCTCACTGAAAACTTTATTTTGTGTAGCTGTTATGATTTTGTAAATATAAATTCCTACTCTGAAGTCAGACTATAATTGTGTAAATTCATGATTTTATTCTCATAAATTTGGGCCTTTATTCCTGTAACATTATAGCTTTTAATCTGTAATTTGGGATTTTTTTCTTGTACATTTTTTTTTATCCCATTGTCCTGATCATGTTATCTTGTAAATTAACTGTATTAATATCATTCCTACTCAAGAGATTGTTTTTGCATAGATTTTGCTGTCAAATGCAAACAATAATTCTAAGTGTCTTCAGTCAAAGATTTATTTTTTATAATTTTTCAGCTTTATTACACTCAAAACAGACTATTTTGATTGAATTATCACATTCCACTCTCTCTAACATTGATTTTATGTAGTCTAGACTGTGTTTCTTCTGCCTGTTGTGGGATAGACTGGTACCTTTCTGACTCAGGGCTCGTTGAATGAAATCAGCTGTCTCGCTGAAGAATGGACTCAAGTCAAAATCTCGACTGTCTGGTGCTTCCACTCCATGGTACTGTATGATGGTGTCTTCATAGAAACATGGCCCGGTGTCAATGTGCTCGGGGCCATGTGCAGCATTCACCACATGTGTTATTCCCAGACTCAGAAGCAGGCTTTTATTCTGAGCTGTAACACTGTAAACAAACACAAGAAAATGCAGCTTTTGGTGTTTGTTTTTTTTCCTTCTTCTCTTTTCCCACAATGACCTGCTCTGTAAACACGTGTTTGGAAATGTTATCACTGGTGATTCAAATGTTCAGATTTATTTTTAGCCAATCAGTTGGCCAAGTACTGGGCATGTTTGCAGCAGCAGTTTCACAATCAGATCGACATATTGCATCAAGGCCCCAAAGTGAGAATGTCACTTACGCATCTCCGATGTAGAGGTCGGGCCAGACCTCGTTGACAGCTCCAGTGGGACGTCTGTTCTTCAGCAGAAGGCTGAACAGATCGCAGGTGGGAGGTGTCTGGTACTCTGGCTCCTCCTCTGGCTTCATATTTAACTTTAACGCGCTTATATAATCACCACAAAATAAACCTCACACTTAGATAACACTCAGATCTTTCCAGGAGAGAAAGATACAGAAGTGCCAACAGCTGTCCCACTTGTTTTGTCTTTTCTGTATGTATTTGGAAATAAAAACAAAGTCCATCCTAACCTCTCTGCTGCAGCTCAGTCTGTTCCCCATCTGAGCAGATTATCAGTGTTGTTTCGAGGCTGACCCCCGCTGGAACGTGACAGCTGAAGATGCCAGACTCTGGGCAGGAGCAGGCTGGACTATTTATTCCTCAGATGACTGTGACAGAATGCAGGCTGCTTGTTTGCTGACATCTTAAACTGCAGCGGCACAGAAGTGTTTACAGTTGTTAAAGTGTAAGTGTTCATAATATAGCGAGGATTACTGCCAGTGATAGTCACCCTGGGACATCTAGAACAACATCAATGCAGAGGTTTAAAGGACAAATTAGTCGACTAGAGAAATCCAATCAAAAATGACTTGATTTATTTAGACACTGGCTCAATCATCCAAAGCTTTCATCATTACGATGGATATAGTCATAATTCTGAGACAGCCAACATCTGTTAGCATGGTTCATTTTTAAATTTTAATTGTATATGGTGAATGTTAAGTACAATAGTCTTAATAAAGGAACATGCAATAGCAGGTTGTGGTTTTATAAGGTTATATTTGGAGACATTTGTTGCAGCATCCATTGATATCTATTCATGCTAGCCAAGGAATATCAAGTTAGGCAGTTGGGACTGTGACAGAGCGAGCAGAAACCCTTCATAAAGGCTGTTTTTCCCAACCTCCAGTCCAGTTTTTCTCAATTGTAGTAAATCCCGTGACAAAGTAACTTCATTTCTTTCTGTCTACTTCTATATCACTGTCAGTTCTAAAGAATACCTAGTTAGAGCCCCATCCTTAGCAACAGTGTCTCCCCAATAGCAACAGTCTGCTATAAAGAAATAACACACTGTTGCTATGAATTGTTGCTATGTACTGACCAATCAGAATCAAGTTTGGTATTAGCTTTGTAAAAAGTTTGTATAACCCCCTCTAAATCTCAAATGGTGACTTTTGCTCTCCTCTTTTTTTTTCTTTTTGTGTTTGTGTGTGTGTGTGTGGATAGAACAAAATAAGATGAAACGGAGAGCACAGCATTAACTTTAGGCTCCAGTGATGTCAGTCAGCTGTTTCCTCTGGCCTCCAGTCTTTAAGAGCTCACTTTGATCTATTAAAGTATGACACAAAGAATATTGGAGTGGCCAATTAGCATAATTTCTGTCATTTCTATGACAATTCTTTGTAATACTTTGGCTTAAAAAGACTTTCATCATGTCAAGGCAGAAGTTGACAAATGTTGCTCAATTATAGCGTTTTTTTCTTCATACTTGTTTATTCCTCACATTCACACAAAATCAGCTTTTTAAAGCCTTGTCCTTAAAGTTCAAACACTATTTGTTCATTACGATCAAAGACCTTTTTGTCATATGTTCTGTTCAGAAATGTTCCTGGTTTTATTTGAGTGCATTTTGTCTATTTCCCCTGGTGTTTCTGTTCCTGATTTTTGCTGTTCCCCTGTAGTCCACTCTCATGAGTGCTCAGTTTGTGTCTTCCCTAGTTTTCCCTCCTTCGTTAACAAGTTTCACCTGTGTCTCGTCTGCCACACCTGTTGCTCGTTTCCCAGTGAGTATATAGTCCCTGTCTTCCCTTCTGTCTTTGTTGGTTCATTGTGTGTGTGTTTATGTCTGTGTCCACAGATGTCCCCCTGTGGATTTTTCAGTTGGACATTTCCAAGTAAGTTTTTTTGTTTCTTTTCATTTAGTTCTTCTTAATAAATCGTTTTTTGAATCTGCACTTGGGTCCATTTTCCTTTTGTGAAACACTGGCTCATGACACTTTTTATACCATGAAAGTCACTTTAATTTCTGCAACAAAAAGGAATTACTAATAGGAGGAAAATGAGGACAGGTTTTGAACCCATCTTCGTTGTTGTTTAGTCAGATGCTGACATGAGACCAATTATGGGTTGTATCTCATGTCCGTCCATTGACACCAGAGCCCCGAGACGATCCCTGGTAGTGCAGCTTTTTGTCCAGCTCTCGGAGCTGCTCCAGGAAACCGGCATTTGGTGAGATGTTCCTGTTGGCGCCGACAGCTTTGAGTGCATCCACCAATGTCATGTTCTCGTGGATCATCAGGTAGGCCAGCACCAAGGTCGATGAGCGGCTGAGACCCATCGCACAATGGACAAACACTTTACCTGCCAATAAGCCGAGGAAATAAAACCCAGCATCACTTTCTGTTGCTAAACCCAGAGCTCAGGCGTCCTCTAAAAACTCTGCATCTGTACTAACAACCATGCAATGACTGGATTATTGTGTTGAACTTTATTCTAACGTCTAATTTGTTGCTTCTTTGTGGATTAAAAAACATGCACATCAGAGAGGAGTACTTCTAACTCCTAACTAAAAAGTTTTCAACATTGTTGCAACAAATGTTTCTACACACGGTAATCCTCGCTTCCTTATCGGGGCCTGAGGATTAGGGCGCATAGGAGCGCGTAATTGAACTGTCTTGGCGTCTGTGTATTTCATGCTGGGGATTACTGTAGGCCCCGCCACACACTGGAGCCCCCCGATCAGCCAGCATGTGAATGAGGAGGCCTCGTCTTATTACTGTCATGTCAGATACTGACTTCACTTTGCATAACAGGCCAGGCAGGCACAGGCCACAAACATAATTGTGTAATTTCCATGTCCAATAAAAGTGTTGCTTACAAATTACCAGGGCAATCCATTTAAAACCAATTTTCCCGGCCAAGGTCTGAGCTTATGAGGAGATTACCGTGGGGGGAAGATATTAGCCTGATATTATGTTTAGTGTTTGATTTGCATTTTAATGACTAATACAACTGGGGTTGCTGTAATCGGAATTGACTGACAAATGTTTCCCCTCCATGCCATGCGGAGAATGAGTTAATGTGTGAGAATGAGGGAAAAATACCTCAAGTAAATAGGGTCTCACCTGTGGGCAAGCTCAAGGCGTTCTTGATAAAATTGGCCGCCGGGTAAAAGAAGGGACTCAAGTCAAAGGACGGCATGTCAAAAGCTTCCACTCCATGATAAGTGATTTTAGTGTCTCGGTAGAAGCTGGGGCCCGTGTTCACGTTAAATTTCCCATCAGCGGCGTTTAGTACGTGTGTGATGAGATGAGCCTGGAGTGTCCTCTTGTCTTTGGCTGCATACCTGAAGAGAAGAAATAACTTTTTATTGTTTCTATAAGCACAGTTAATGGTAGTTAATTATACATATGACCACTGGAAGAGCAGGACGACTGATTAATAATTCAAGTGTTGTCATATTCATGATCAATAAAAGATCAGGAAAATAAATACTAATGCTTTGTGGATAATTAGTTAGCTGTTTAATGCACAATAGGAGGCACATTTGAGTTTCCAAGTTGCAGATCTACGATTATGAAATTGGACTTTTTTGGCTGGTGAGACATAGTAGCTTGTCTTTTACAACATAGAAAGCCCTTTTTACCAATAAAAAACTATCAACTGGGACAACTTTTATGATATTTATAAAAATCTAACAGTGGTGCCAATAGTAATAAAAAAAGTTCACTATTGTACCAGTTTTCAACACTTTTACCAAGTATTTCTCACAGCTCTCTTAACAGAAAAAGCTCACTGGGATATCTCTCTCAAGGTAAATACAACATCAGCTGTTATGCTCTACTTAGATTCACTCTCTTTAACTCCTAAAAATGCCCCAAACTTAAAAGAAAAAAAAGAAAATATAAAACGTTTCTACATTCATGGCTAGTTTGAAGCATTTTATCCCATAAGCAATTTATCAAATGTTTGTCAGTAAGATTCATTGCACTGGGTTCACATGCAAACATACCGCTGTAAAAAATAAGCAAATCAACTGAGAACTTGAGGGCATATTTGGTCAGAGTTTATTCAATTTGCACGTGTTTAAGTTGACTTTTTTAAAAATACAATTTTCCTCTTTTTTTAGCTCTGTTTTTGGTCTCAACCACTGTCAAGGGCAAACGTATGACTAAACCAGCAGTTAAATATATGCTGTTAGACATTAGCCACGTTTACATGGGCAAAATTTCTCGATCTGATCAAAAGTTTGAGGGATCAGATAATCTGAATCCACCGTTTATATGGGCGCAACTCAAATAATCCGATCATGACGTGTGTATACATGCACCAAGTTTTATTCAGATTAATACCATTTGGACATGCGCAGAGTTGTGTGATTTCGCTAAAACACCCGCAGAGGAAGAGTTGTATTTATGTCTGTGCTGTCAACAGACCAACAAACACGGTCATGGCTCACGCCATCAAGTTTTCCCAGCTGTTAAATGTTGTCACTAGATGGCGCCCTTTGTGTACTCATTTTACTGTCCTGTCAAAGGTTGCACTGTGCGTGCAGATGTGACATCATTACGCCGTATGTACGCCTTGTTGTGTTACCGGAAGAGCAGACACGGCCCATGCGGTTGTGTTTTATGCCAGAGTGTTAATAATGAAACCCCCCGAATTGCCCAAAGGTTAAAGAGTGAGGACTGAGTCAGCTAAAAGAGTCATGATTGGAATAAGACGCGCTTCAGAACAACGATCGGCATAAACCACCCCTCTCGATTGGAATACAGTTCTTTCTGATTTAGCCGAATTGGATCAGACTCTTCTGATCGACATGTTTACATGACGCTTTTTATTCCGATCGGGCATTTATTCCGATTATTCGTATCCATGCAAACGCAGCTACTGTCAAAAGTTTGCTTAGATTATTATTGATGTTCATTGTCGACGGTGTTACTCTGTAAACTTTAAAGCATGAGTATTAAACAGAATATCTTTCTCACATGTCTCCAATATAGATTCTGGGCTGAACCTCGTCCAGATGGTTGCTGCTCCCTTTCTTTGTCCACATCAGCCTGTGGAGCTCTGAAGCTGAGGGGGTCTCATACCTGCCGTCTGCCCCCTCAGGGCTCGCCAAGCAGCTGAGGCCTCTGGGCATGTCTGGATGCTCCACTTCTTCTTTTACAACCTGTCATAAAAAAGTACCTCATATCATATTCAAACTTATAGTTTTGCCGGTGGTTTAATCAGGCAGGGATTTGGGGGCAGACAGAACCTCTTACTGCTGTATTTGAACCTTGTGATATTTTTCCTCAGCTCTGTTTAACAATAGTGAGAGAAGTGGCTTCAGTCATGCAGAAAACACCTCAAAATCTCAGCGGCTTAAAACACAATGAACAGAAGACACCATACTGAGCTATCTCATGTTTAAAACAACATATTATACTTTATTAGTTTCACATAAATAGCAACTAACGTTAGCGCAACACTGAATGGATATTCCGGCGTAAAAATTAATTTAGGGTCAAACACACCGTAACACCGAGTTAGACACCCCCTTGAGAGATGAACGTTGCCGACCGCTTGCTTCTCTAGTTATACCAACTTTAGTAATGACAGGATCGCAATACACAGCGGTCTGAGGAGCCATTAACAAACCTCAACCAAAACACCACTCTAGCCACCAAACATCTTTTTAGTTATGCCTGATTTCTTTAGCAAAGCGACTAAACACAACTCACCTACTCTCTTCCAGCAGCCGCTTGTTTGTAGCGAGACCTCAGGCCAGTCTATGACGGACTACAGTGGGGTGACGCAGCTCAAGGAAGAACATTTATGATCATTTTTTTATCATTTCCTTGAAGTAATAATCACCATATTAATCATTTTGCACTGCAGACGCGGTAGTTCTTCTGCCTTAGCTTCGCGGTCTGATTGCATTTCCCTGAAGAAATAATCATTAATGTTCTTCCTTGAGCTGCGAAACTCCACAGCAGTCCATAATGGACTGGCCCGAGGTCTTGCTATAAACAAGTGGCTGTTGGAAGAGGGTAGGTGAGTTGTGTTAAGTCTCTTTGCTAAAGAAATCAGGCTATTTGTACTATTGATTAAGTTAGGTGCTGTTCTGAGCGTTATTGTGGCTATAGAGTGGCGATTTGGTTCAGCGCGTGGCTCCTGAGACCACTGTGTATTGCTATCATGCAGTCGTTACTAAAGTTGGTATAACTAGAGAAGCAAGCGTATGGCAACATTCATCTCTAGAAAGGGTGTCTAACCTGGTGTTACAGTGTGTTTGACCTTAACTTAATTTTATGCCAGAACATCCTTTTAACACTGGAGAGGAAGCTAGCAGTTAGCTTGGACAGGACAGAAAACTACGATCTCCATTTGAACTTTAGAAAAGGAGAAGAACTTTATTGACCCCTGAAGAAAAAATTCAGCTGGTAGGTTATCAAATATGTTGTTTCAATTTTAAGCTCATTGTCCTGCAAAGTTTCCTGTTAGTTATCCTTTTAGAAGTTTTAATAACTTAGCCTAAATGTACACAACCTAACTGTATCGTCATAACAGCAGTTGAGCGTCTCACCTCGAGTGTAATCTCCGAGGAGATTTGTGGCTATGCGGATTTTGTTAGGGTGAATGAAAAAGCACACACAGTTCCAGGCACTATGATTTCCCCTTTGAAAGCTAAATAACTCCTCTGATGACTAACAGGCATTATTGGAGTGAGAGTTTCAATTGAAAGGAAAGTAGAGTGGCTGGGATTGTTCATTAGAACATCTGGCAAACAAGCCTTTGGCCTTTAAATATAGTCTATAAATATGCCAATAAATGTTCTCTAGCAGCAAAAGAACACATAATTGTACAATGACCTTTTGATGCTCTCATTATTTTATCAACAGTTCAGAAGCACTTGCTAGCTTTATTTATCCCCAGAGATACAGAAAATTGGTATTCAAGGCCTATAAACATCAGATTTTCATTTCCTGCAGGCAGGTCTAACCTGTGCATTTACAATTTACACACTGGGCTTTGGAGAGACTTATCCTATGCGAACTGTATACATTAGCATCCATTTAGGCAGTTGTGTGATTCTGCTCCAGGCTGAGGACATACAAGCAATGTGTATGCATTGTTGTGGTGAAGAAACCGCGTCTGATTTGCATTTTGCTGGTGCTTAGAGTTGTAATATGGCACTCAAGGTTTTGGAGACTTATTGTCGTATCCTCTGGGATGAGTCATTGAGACTGAAATCTGTTGCAGTGACCTTTGGTTTGGCTGTCATGGCATATGGAGGCGCACTCAGACATCATTTATCTATCTCTGCATGAGCGTGGTTGCACGTGCAACGCTAGTAGTCCTAACATATGCCTAATGCATATGAGCGTGTTAGTTTTAAAGGCAGAGTAAAGTGTGTGTCTTTGCACAAGTACAACATGTGCCCGGAGTACCTGGAGGCTTTTCTTTCTCCTCATTGATCTATAAGTACAACCCTTTCCTCCCTCCCACTGTCAGGGCAGAGAACTGATTTCCCTGGTGCACATGTTGAGCTGCAGCGCTGCTTTCATAGCCTCCCCCCTCAGGCTAACCTGTCCTTCCTGCTCTACTTCTGTGTAATTAAAGATGCTATGTATGGGAAAGTGCCCACGGTTAACATGGAGGGCAAATAAAAATGGCTTTTTACCTCCTCAGGGCCTCTTCTCGGTGGGTTTTATGAATTACACTCCCCCTCTTTAGCCTTTTGGATGTGGTTCGTCTGTATTTGTAAGCAAATTAAAGAAGAAAGTGTGGTAATCCATCATCCAATGCTGTATCATCACATACACGTATTACCAAAAATGCTCCATAAACATATTCACTTTGCAAATAAAGCTAAACAACACAATAAATCCATACAATGAACTTTAGGGATACCGTAATAAATATTCCCCAACATTTTCTTATAGAACATTTTGTCAGTAGACACTTGCCTTGGCTGGAAACGTTGCTTTTCAAGGGCTCTCTGTGCAAGAGCTACATGTAGGTCGGCAGCACAACTGTCTGCGTTCTCCTCGGTAATCTACCCTGCAACCTTTTTTGCTATTTTAACATCTGAATCTCAGCCCAAAATAATTCTGGCATCATCTTCTGCATTCCATAAAGGTTACCCGAGCTCCCAGCATAGGCACAAGGATAGGCCGTGTTTTTTTCAGATCATGGTTTCAGTGCTTGAGCTTCAATCTGACAATAGCTTTACTTAGATTATTCGCTATTGTGATATATATTTTAATCAATTCATGGACATTTGGTGGAGCCAGGGATGTCTGATCTTCATTGGTTTGTATGTAGACCTTCAATATAGGTGAATAAAAGCACAAAGACTGATGTAGGGTGCACATTTGAAAAGACAATGAAACATCCAACAAGCCATAACGTACAAAAACATAATTCAGACATACTCACAAAATGCGTAAAAAGATACTCAGGCGTAGAAAGGTAAACACATTTTTTTTTTAAACAAACGAAACATATTTTCAGATATTGCGAAGTTTGTGTTTTTCATGAAATATTATGTCAAGGTTCTTAAACTAACATAAAATACCACCAGATGTGATCCCAATGTCAAACTTGACTCAGAATTATAAAAACTGCACAAATCAGGGTTGGTTTCTTAATTGTATCACAAACATGTTGAAAATGCACGAGTGTATGTTAAGTCAAGCAGTTCTGCTTTTTAACAGGTTGTCACAAATATTATTGTCATCAGTGCAAACAGTCACAAAATCTACAAATACACAAAAAGAAACACTGATCATTTGATCCATTGAGTTATTCCAGTTTTGAGCTGAAATTTTGAGAGTAAAAACTTCAGAGTAGTGAACAATAATGCCTTTACAAAGCAAGACATTTGGTCCGTTGTGTTTTTAAACACAGTGAGGTGCTGTAAAAGAAGAAAAAAAGCTATTGCTCCAAAGGAGATAGGAAAAACAACTGAAACACAAACACTACTCACAATTTCTCATTATCCAAAATAACCATCACTCAACATTATTACATCACTGCACATGTAGTTTTAAGTCAAATAAAAACAAAAGTGAGTCTTTAAAAAACCCCTCCCTATTAAAAGACATACAAAATAAGATAAATCTACGCATATGGTGACATTACAGTACAAGCATTATAGAGATCAGCCTGAATCTGGTGCCCAAGATAAAGACACGATGCTGCAGTATTTTTATCGCTTTATCCTAGCCAGGTAGTTCTTGAACACTTATTTCAGGCATTGAAAGGGGTCTGAATTTGCTATGTGAAGTGTCTACAGAAGCCTGGAACAGACAAACCAAACATACTGGTCCTTCATCTGTTTGCATGTAAGTTTTGAAAGCCTAAAATAGACTTACGCAAAACTGAGGGGTAATTGGTCTTTCCCAAAGATTGAGGTATGCTAAGTGTTATTATGTTAGCATGTAAATGCTAAACAAGCTAATGAGGCTCAGAGGTTTAAATATATGCATTTAAGTTTTTTGTTCTCATCTGTTCCTGGTTATGAATTACAGTCCTAAGAGCATGTTTTGGTCTGAAAGAGGTCTAATAGATGTCTAAATTTAGCCTAGACAATTGGTCTAAAATCAGGCTACCACAGATCTAAACCTGAAAGTTTTTTAGACGTCTATACCTAAACCAAGTTTAGACCAAGTCTAAATTTGGGCTATATCTATACTACACTGTATATTGCTCAATGGCTATCATAATTATTTTGGTTAATTACTTGGAAATCAGTTATTCGACTCACAGTTGTTTTTTGAAATAAATAGTTATCAAATAATGGGTTAAAGTGCAACGTCTAAATTTCGTCTAAAACTATAAAGAATCTAGACTGTTGAAATTAGGTCTAAAAAAAAAATCTAGACATGTAATAGCTGTCTATTTCTCAGTGAGAGTATACTAACAAGAAATAGTATTAGCATGGTAACTAGTTGACACACTGAGTATAATGCATAGACTGTATATAGAATGGACAGCGTCTGCCTCCTCGCTGGGTGAAGCCAACCCAAGAACAGCACCCTCTGGTGATGGGCTGCAGTATAGGTCATAAAACCCGCCTCCGCCAGTAAAGCTTATGAAGCTGTGGACAAACTTTAGAAATTTATTACACGGAATATAAATGTTTTTCCCCCCCTGCTTGCGATGTTGACATGTAGTTACTGTAAGACTGGTTTGTGCTCCGTTTTTAAAAGTTATCAGGGGGTTCATGTTTTCTATGATTGACACTTGATACAGCCTATGGATGTACGAAGATTGCATAGCGCAGGTGGTGGAGTGCGTACAACGCTACTGCGCAATGTTGGTTTCAGGAAGTGGAGAGAAAACGCTTTTCGGCTTCGAATCCATGTACTGGTGGAAGGCGGAACCAAGTTGTCCATAGTATATACAGTGTATGGTATAATGTCATCTTGTTATTGTAAACCATGCTGATAAAATCTGAGGGCTCAGTAGTTTAAGTAAACGTCCTAACATGGTTCTAGCATTGCACCGTATTACTGTTAAGAAGCAGCTAAGTTTGGAGGAGATTCAGTCATTATTTGGACCTGATTTCATGACAATCCATACTTAAAGGACTTTTTCAAGTCTGACATGACAGACCGACATCTCTATTTCTCGACCCATTGCTGCTGCGTAACCAAAACTTGTAAACTTCTGTCGACTACAGGATCTGACACGTTTTCTTTTTCCTCGTCAGCTGAAGATCCAGATCTAACAGCAGAGCCAGGAAATTCCTGTTGGGATAGATCGCTCTCTTCTGGAGTAATTTCTGCAGAGCCTGTTTGAGGGTGAGGTGCTGGTAGATCATGAGGTACGCTAACACCAAGGTTGATGACCGGCTCATTCCCATGATGCAGTGCACCAGAACCTTCCCTGAAGAACAGACAAGGATAAAAGGAAAGAAAGAGAGGGAATGTGAAGGCAGGATTAGCGAGAGGCCTCAGTCTTATTAATATCATACATGGCTGCCCGTCTCACGCTGTGGCCTTTCTTTTTTTCCTGCTGTGAGCTAAAAATAGTTCCCACAATTCATTGCCTTTGTTCATTTAAAGTCCCTTTGCAGACCGGGGCCTGACTGTCTCTTTAATCCCAACGTGTCCTCTGCTTGATAACTTCTTTGAAAGAAGCCATGGTCACATTATAGACTTAAATTCTGCAAGGTAAGACCCTTATTATTACTGCTGACTGGAAATGCTCTCACATTACAAGCTGTGTTACAATGTGGTGACACTGAAAGGGCTGCATGATGGGGGAATTTAAGTAGATCAGTTTATTAAGGACCTATGGAGTAAAATAAAAGTAATATGGAGTGGGGGAATCTCATCCTGTAGTTTCTGGATTAAAGAATCAAAACTCACAGTTCAGAAATGTGCAAAAGAAACCTCAGGGAGTCTTACCATCAGGTGACTTAAGAGCATTATGAATGAAGTCGGCCGCAGGCTTGAAGTAAACATCCAGATCAAAGTATGTGGAGTCATCTGCAGGAATGCCACAATACACAAAGCTGCTGCCATAAAAGCTTTGGTTCCCTATGCTTCCTCGCTTTGAGTGTGCAGCGTTTAATACATGAGTTATACCTAGTTTTAACAGGGTTGTCTTGTTTTGGGCCACTGCCCTAGCAAAACAGAGACAAAGAGAGTGTTTTATCAAAGTATACGGAAAATTTAACAAAAACTTACAGAAGAAAAGTTCAGATTTCTCTGCAGGAATTCTCAGCAAGTGTAATTCAAATTAGAAATAAAATGCATACTTACACATTCCCTATGTAAATTTTTGGCCACACTTCATCTATTTCATTCAAATGTAGTTTGCACGAGTCCAAAACCTTCTGTAGATCCTTCACAGTCAGATATTCTTTTCTCTTCGCTCTCCTGGCTGACATTCTGAGTCTGATTCCCCCCTTTCTTGGATCGATTTCTGCTCCAAATGTTTGTTGTATTAGAGAAGTTCCCGTCAACTCCGGCTCGGGATGATCTGTGCGAGCAGGTGTTTATCTGCCGTCACTGGACGGTTACCCAATTTAGTGCTTAACCTAGCGTGTAGTCTTACTCGTGCAGAGGGCAGAACAACAAACAGAGCAGCCCCGGCTCTGCTTTTCACACCGCTGTGGGAAGCTAATTTAATAAGCCTCAAACAGAGATGAATCATTGCATAAAAGCAGTGATAATTGGACGTAATTAAGGAAAAAATGTTTAAGTGCAATGCACAGGCTGGATGACAGAAAGTCCACTGTATTTATGCAACAGATACACAGTAACAGCGTGCAGCTAGTTTACTGCTAGGACATAAATATCTTGAAAGAGGAGAAAAATTAAGCTGGAGAGGATTGAAGCAGCCTTCATAAGTGCTCTTCTTAATCCTCCTGTTATATAGCAGCTTTCAAACTTAAGAAGAACAGAATTAACCTTTCCTGTTGGCTATTGAATGTGATCGCTTTGACCTCTCTGTGTCATAAATGTGTGTAAAAATGTGGAGGCATTAATGTGCTACAAAAGTTGACGCTGATGTACACAAAAAGAGTCGATAAAGGTCTCTGGGTCATTTTGACCTGAAGACATTTATTGATTGATTATTTTAAGTGCTGTTTCTGCTTATAAATGAACCGACAGCACAAATCCCACCTGATATGTAGATGATGCTGAAAAATGAGATCTATACCTGCTGGTGATTGTGTGATTCTCGTGAGATCCACGTATAAGCGTGTAATTCTGTGTGGGAAGAAGAGGCTCAGTTGATATTGTGTACCACAGTTTTCTTGGAGGCTTTACAATGACTGTAGGAGATTCAGGAGGCTGAAGAATTACTGTAGGTTTCTACTTAATAAAACATACTCCATAGCTTCCTCTCCTTCTCACCTACATAAAAACCGCAAGAGAAAAGGGTCTTAACTTTTTTCACAGCACTCTAACATTTACTTTCAGCTCCATAATGCCATGTATTACCATAACAACAGAAGTATATATTAGATTACAACTTTGTGAGTAATTATGGCAATCTACAAACTAACCAAATTATTAACTAATTTATACAAATCATGGCTCTAGATAGTAATTATAGCAAATTACTTAGTGTATTCAACACCACTGCAGTGTTCATCAAGGTTGATTTAAAAAAGAAGTATTCATGAAATAATTTTGCTCTCAAAATAATTTATTCTTATGTTGTATAGCTATAGTTTTTCTAACTTTAGAGTTTGAGTAATTTAAATTCACATGAGAGATTCAAAGCAGCTTTTGTCTGTATGACATAAAAGCAAACAAACTTCCTTCTAATGCTGACACTTAAAGACTCAAGGAGGACAGTGAGAACATTTGCAGAAAGATGTTCAGTTATTATGTCAATTCTTTCAGTATTGATTAAACAAGTTTTATAAAGCAGCTGAAATAGTTCCAAGAGTTAAATTCATGCTCAACAGACGGTAGCACCATTGAAAACTCACCCATAGATCACATGCTGTTTTCACGCTCTTATGAATTTGATGGCTGAGAAGCAGGAGCAAATTTAGATCACTGGATATCTTCATTGTTTTTTAATCATCAAATTATTTTGCTTAGACATTTAGTATTCTGAACATTTTGGTTTTAGAAAAGTTTCCTTTTTAGACACAAATTTGTAAAAGTGGTTTGAAAAGTGCTGTATAAATTCCGTTTATCATTATTGTTTTTATTATTGTTGTTTTATTCACTTTTTTCTCAAAAATACTACAACTATTTTCAATGTTTTTGAGACTTGTATACTTGTAAACAACTTATAACTTACAACCATAATTTATATAGCATGTATACTTGTACATGTACACAGAATAACTGATTGCAGAAACAAATCTATACATGGTGCTCATTTGAAAATGTCTCATAATTCTGTTTACAACTAATTTATTGTATTTTTAAAAGCCTCTATGTTTCCCTTTTATTTTAAACCTGGAGTGGCCTGATAGGATAAAAAATCACGTTAAGAAGCTGATAAAGAAATATAAATTTAAAATGATAAATAACAAACTTTGAGCAGTAAAAAGGAGTGATATAAACTGTTCGACAAAGTTTGGAAAAAGTGTAGGTGTTTGGTTTAGTTGTCAAAGTGAACACACAGCGTAATAAATTAGATGTAATTTTCCTCCACATAATGAAAAAATAGGGCTTAACAAGTCACTGTTTCTCTTATTAAGCTCTGAAATGGATTCTGCCACAGGGCGAGTTCATTATCCTGATCTCCTGTTAATAAAAGGGTCAATAACCTGTGAACAGGCGGTATGATTCACAGTAAACAACCCACAAGAGGAGGGAAACAACAAGTGATGCTGTATTATACTTAGATCAATCTGATTACAATCAAAGTACAGTATCCCCCTCCACTGGCACAGTCTGAGTCCTTCATTTATCCAGAGAAAAAGAAATAGAATTAAACCAGAAATTAGAAAATCTATTTGTTTTGGAGGCGCGGGAAAATATTCATTTGTAGTTTTATGTCCAAAGCACAAAGCTGTTTGAGGAATCCTGTGTTTGGGAAAATCCATCTGCGCTCTTTGACCTTATTGATGGCCTCTAGGAGGGTGTAATGATGGTGGATCATTAGGTATGCCAGGACGAGGGAGGCTGATCTGCTCACTCCAACTGCACAGTGCACAAAAACACGAGCTGGAAGAGAGGGAGGAAAGGTGTGATGAGTCTAAAGGTGTGTCCCAAATCGCATACTTCCATACTAAATACTTAAATTTTTGAGTATACTCATCTCAAAATGGAAAAAAGTATGGATAGTATGCGAAAAATGGGTATGCAAAAGTACCCGGATGACGTAGTCAGTGCGCCGCGCAGCAGTATGCGATTTGAGACAGCACTGTACCCTTGAAACTTGCGCACTGCATGATTGAGTACATAGTATGCTTAGTATACTCAATCTAGTATTTAGTATGGAAGTATGCGATTTGGGATTCTGGATGTGAGAAGTGACTCAGACAAAAACTTGAACAGTGTGCCTCGCCAAAAACAATGACATTAAAGAAAATGATGGGTTATTTACCACCATCGGTGTCAAGTGCACTCTGAATGTACTCAGCTGAGGGAAAGAAATAGCGTGAGAGGTCAAAGGACGGTGAGTCATCAGCAGGCACTCCATAATAATCCACAGAGGAGCCGTAGAAGTCATGACTCCCCTGACAGTGCATCCTTCCATGAGCTGCATTCACAACATGAGTGATTCCCAGCTTCCACAAACTGTAGCGATCGTTAGCCACCGACCTGTAGGAGGAAGCGTGGAATAAGATCAGACATGCATCGAAAGGAAACAGTCTGAGTTGAATTCATGTTATAAGCTTAAGACTTACATGTCACCAATGAATAAGTTTGGCCAAACTTCATCAACATGGTTTCCAAACCTTTTCCCTCCATACAAAACCTTCACCAAGTCTTTCACAGAAGGAGTGGCAGGGGACACGTTCACATGTATTTCTTGCTGGTTGTTCATAGTTTGCATATGTTGCAAAATGCTACTTCTAAACTACAAAACGTTTGTAAGATTTCCTCCTCCTAAATGTTTGTATTTGAACCTTGGAGGTGCTTTACTACAATCATGTTGGTACTGACAAGGACAGGTGTTTCTGCTCTAAATTTAATCTATGACCTACATTTGTTAAATGTGGGTTAATTAATGCCCTACCACTAAATGTCATAAAGGTAATTTCATGTCTTCTGGTTGTCTTTCTAAGACTTTTCTCGCCTTTAGCTGCCCTATTAATGTTTGCTTTTTGCAACCACAGTAAACCAAGCAGTATTTTAAGTACCACAGTATCCACTTTCCCCGGTAGATGTCGCTGTTTCCAGTCTGAGCTTATTGATGCAGATTTTTTGCGTGCGCAGCTATTTGAAACATTACCGCCCTGTGTTGTCAACAGTACATGCTAACCAGCGGGGAAGCTAGGGCGAAATGATTCCCTACAAGCCTGTGTTAGTATCGCAAACACTAATACGCTTTCTTTGGATTCTTTCAGGATGTCATTTAGCCGGCTAGCTAAATAAACACACCTGTGTCGGCCTCCGTTACATCTTTGTCCAGGTGAGTGAGCGAAAGGCACGCGCATTGATGAAGCTAGCAGGTAGCTTGCTAGGCTAACGTTAGCTGGAGATGAATTAGCCTTGCTGTGAGAGGTTCGTTGTGGTGGAAGAAAGGAGGGTTTCGCCTGATTTCATGGCTAACCGGAGCACGCTTGTGGAAGGATACGACGTCTGAAACTGTATTTGTGTAGTATCTTAAAGGATTAGGATATAAATTAGCATAATTAGCCTCTGGCTCCACCTCATACACAGCTTGTGATAGGGCTGGACTTGCAGGTGAATGGTTTTCATGGAGCAAAGTTAAAGTGAATTTAACTGTCAGTGTTGAAATATCATGTGCTATTTTAAACAGACAGACACACAAACATCTTGCAAACATGCCCTTTCAGTCTGGAGCAGATTGTTTGAGGTTAACATCATATTTTGTGTTAGTTTGTTTTGAAATTGACAGTCAGTTATTATCATATCGAGTAGGGGAGAGTGGGGTAAGTTGAGCCACCTCCTGTTGCTTTGGAATGGTCAAAGAAATTGATCATATGACCAAATATTTAGGAGATTGGCATCAATTCATGGAGTCTGCAGAGGTTAGAAGCACATGGGTGAAGGGGTTAGACATTTATTTCCCAAATAAAAACATTTTTCACTCTTGAAAGTCATTTTAGTCTGTCGTCAGTTTTATTAGAATTGTGTTCAGACCAAAAAAGATAATTTTAAATTTGTTTTATACATCAATTGTGGTATCTGTGAGCTACAACATGAGGTTAAAAACCTAGAATTTAAGTCCACCATTTTAGCTTAGAGGACTAATAAAGTCATAATAGTAGTTCTGGGGTAAGTTGAGCCAGAGTCTGATGAAAGGATCAGAGTTTCAGCTCAGATTGTTGAAATGTGTTACTTTTTCTTTTCAAACATATGGCTGTGAATTTTCTGAATCACCAGGTATACTAGTTAGAGACAAAACTACGATTGACTTGATGTAGTGATCCAAAATATGAAACATGGCTCATCTTAACCCACTCTCCCCTATCTAATAACCCTATGTCCCTATTTTCTGACTGCACTTTTACCCACATTTTGCAGACTGTGGTTTGCATTGCGCAAACTTTCCTCAGTAAACTATTCCTTTCTTTAAATATTTGCTTTAGTTTTTAATGCACAGCTCCCCAGTGAAAGTTTGCTTCAAACTTGTTCATTTACAGCAAACTGTCACAAAATCGACATCATTTCTTTGTGCGGCAGACTTGCATGTCTTCTTTGGAGCCAGAATTGCTGATTCAGTGGAAATAAAGAGGCCCTACTTCTCCTTAAGATGAAGTCACTAAGGAACTGATACAGGACATTCAGAATGCTGGTTTACTTGACCCTAATTGTGATTTGCTTTTCTCCAACTATAAGAGTGAGGACAAAATGACACAACAGAGCGTCCGTCGCTGGACACCAAAACACGTCGCCAAGTGGTTGAAGGAAGAAGGCTTCTGTGACTACGTTGACCTGCTGTGCAACAAGCACCGACTCGATGGCACCAGTCTACTTGCCCTCAGTGAGTACGACCTGCGCTCACCTCCTCTGGAGCTCAAGGTGCTGGGTGACATCAAACGCCTGATGGTGTCCATCCGCAAACTCCAGAAACAGAACATCGACGTATTAGAGGAACTCGGGCTCCCCTTTGACGGCCACTCTCCCACAGGCTCAGGAGGAAGTTTGGACTGGCTGTGCAATGGAGACCCTGGCAGAGACTGTGACAGCACTGACACAGCTCCTGTGGGAGAGGAGTACCACCAGTACACTAACGGGAAATACAAGCAGCAGACAAGGCGACTGGATCCAGAGTACTGGAAGACGGTGCTCAGCTCTATCTATGTTGTTTTTGTGTTTGGATTCACCTCCTTCGTCATGGTCATAGTGCATGAGAGGGTCCCTGACATGCGCACGTACCCTCCACTGCCCGATATTTTCCTTGACAGGTGAGTGTATCACAATCGGGACAGTGTTTAACATATTTTCTAACTTGGGACACCTTCAGGGAGACAAGAAAAACATTAATAAGTTGCGAAACAAAAAAATATAATTTAATCAACTGTCAGAATATCACACCAGATGGTGGACATTGTAATTGCCCTACTTCCTCGTAGCATCTTTCTATTATTGTCCTCTCATATTCCTGATGGGCCAGAAAAGGTTCAAAAGGACTTCTGAGTGGTTTTTAAAGTGACCTACTTTGAAGTGTTTGAGCTTCTCGTGTTTTTTTTTTTTTTGTTTTATCACATTTTCAGGAAGAGGCCAGTGTGTTTTACAGGAAGTAAATACTAATTGTTTTGTTTAACTTTTTATTTGAGTCAATGTTTTTTTAAAAATTCAATCATGTGTTATGTAAAGCAAGGGTTGTTAGGTAAGGAGAAAGTGAAGGGATGACATTAACCAAGCCAAAAATGAGGACTGTAGCCTTTCCCCTGCACCATGTTGGAAACTTGTATCTCATGCACCTTATTCAGAATAAATGAAATATGACTATTTGGTGAAGGGACCGCCAAATCAAGCTGCCATTCATGTCCACATAATGTCATTTCACCAGTTTGATTAACAATATTTCTCTCACACACAGATCAAACTGTGTTTTTCAGCTGGAAATGAGTGTGTCCTATGTATATACTTAGCATTTAAGCAAAAAAATACTGACTGGCTCGTGGATTATACTATTTCTGCTGTGTGGCAGGATATTGTAGTCACTCATATCCAGTAAAAATCCTCGGATGTTTTTTGGCTTGCCTTATAAATGGTATAAAGCAGATCCAAGCAGCAGATTGTCCAATTAAAGTTCTGCTCCAGAGTCTGTTTATTCATGGCGGTAAAAAAACTTGAATTCTGAAATCATTTTGTTTCTCATTTTGAACAGTGTGCCTAGAATACCATGGGCTTTTGCCATGGCTGAAGCATGTGGAGTGATCCTCTGCAACATCTGGTTGTTAGTTCTGCTGCTCCATAAACACAGGTAGAGTTCTGTGCTGTTACTGTTACTGTGCTTTGGTACACCTGCAGTCTGTCTATTAGGTAAACACCCGTGAGTAAATGTTTCTAATGACTTGTAGGTCCATCCTTTTGAGACGCATGTGCAGCTTGATGGGGACAGTGTTCATGCTGCGCTGCATCACCATGTTTGTCACCTCCCTGTCTGTGCCAGGACAGCATCTGCAGTGCTCAGGAAAGGTATGAAAAAGATTCTGTGTGTATCACATCATAAAGAGTACATATTTACCTCTCACACCACTGAGAGATTCACCTTTTTCTTTCTCTTTTAAGATATATGGTGACATGTGGGCCAAACTGCAGCGAGCTGTGGCCATCTGGAGCGGTTTTGGGATGACCCTGACCGGAGTGCACACATGTGGTGACTACATGTTCAGCGGTCACACGGTGGTCCTCACCATGCTCAACTTTTTCGTTACAGAGTGTGAGTCCAGTCAAACTCTATTCTTTTGTTTTTCCTTTTAGAGGAAGACAGAACCTGTTACCTTTTATACATCAAAGTACTCCTCAATAGTAAGGGTGTTACCCACAGAGGATCCCTGTTATTTTGAAAGAAACTGGCCAGACAACAGAATCAGAAGCTAGGCTATCAACAGCTGCAGATTTGGTCTGCTCTACCATGATATTTCACTAATTTTAGGGTATTACAACCCAAACAAAAATGTAATGTTAGTCTACACTGTGTTTACTTGAAAAGCCCTTTTGTTTTTGCATAACACAGAGACGCAACACATGCTTTTTTGCTTGCAGGGTGCTGATCTATCTGGAAATATGAGCACTATTGACTAAGCATTATCTTATAATTCAGAGATAATTTGACTTTTAAGTTTTTTTCATTATTATTAACCCAGTATATCTAAAATTACTTAAAATTAGTTATTGCTGCAGTATTTTGTGAGTCATGTAGGACTTACGTATGCTCCAGATGGATTTTTCTGTATAGCTTGAAGAGCTAGGAACACCCCTTCTTTTTTTAATACTGTGAAATCTTTTTAAAAATTCTTTTTACTTATGATATATTCATTATTAGGGGATTTAAAGTGCTGGGTAAAGAGGAAGAAACTGCTGACCATGTTTAGCAATAACCCCTTTGTTGCCATCCTGTGTCCTTCTCTGGTATTACACTTGAAGAAAACATCAGACTTTTTCAGTCAGTCATGGAGGCAACAAGAATACTTAACTACTTTACTTTAATGTGATAAATCATCAGGCAGTGTGGTAACAGTTCAAGCAACAAAAGGCTTGTTTGTTTTTTTTTTTATAGCTTATCTTTGCTGTGTATTTTTACAGACACGCCAAGAAGCTGGAACTTCATCCACACATTATCCTGGGTCCTGAATCTCTTCGGCATCTTCTTCATCCTGGCTGCACATGAACACTACTCCATAGATGTGTTCATAGCCTTTTACATCACCACTAGACTCTTCCTGTACTACCACACTCTAGCCAACACCCGAGCATACCAGCAGAGTAGACGAGCTCGCATCTGGTTCCCCATGTTCTCCTTCTTTGAGTGCAACGTTAACGGGCCTGTTCCCAACGAGTACTGCTGGCCTTTCTCCAGACCTGCTATGATGAGGAGGATGATCGGATGATGAACAGAATCAGCTGTGCAGTCAGACACTTTGTAGCCCATGCTGTTACGTCTGCTTTGTCAAGTTGCCAACTCAAGCAGTGTGTTATATTTACATCAACAAAGACAATCGCACCAAGGCCTGATGGAATACACAGAACCATACTTTAGTATACATGTTAGCTTATCTCTTATCCTGCTCCCCTTGAGTTTATTTTAGGAAGACTGAACTTGAAAAGTCTCATCTGAACACTACTTTGTTTAAAAAGTGCCCATCTTCCTTCTCAAAGTATACCATTTAACTTAGCACATATAGTGGATACAAACCAAACATGGAGTTACTTTAGCCTTCTTCACAAAAACAGCTGTTGGAGTGTCACTTCGCAAGCTGAAAATTCTTAACAACCAATAGAAACAATGCTAGCACCGACTTTATTCCCAAAATACTGGGACAGCAGGAAGTTAAAATCAACAATTCAGAACCCACTTAGTCTTATGATTTTTCCAACTTATCCCAGAGTTTCTCTTTTTGTTTGACCCTCCACAGTAAAGGACATTGAATTATGGAGATCTAGGTTCCTTCAGATCGTTTGAATTAGTCCCACAATTTAAGTTATAAACTCAAACACAAGGTGCGATGTTAAGTGAGTCCATCATTTTTGACTTTTCAGTGACTTAAAGAGATTCTATGCTAACAATGGAAAACTTCATTCAAGTGGAATCAAGAAATCTCGGGCAGCATTGCATACAGTCGTATAGTAAGTGATTTGCTGCATTGCCTTTGTTTATATTGTGCTGCTAAAACCTTAGTTGAATTTTGTTCGACTACATAATTAGTTTTTTGTTAGCCACGTCAAAAGTTTCTAAGCAGCAGCGTACCTCTTCCTTCAAAACAATTCGTCAGTTTCTGTGCAATTACAACACCTGATCATGTTACCGTTCGGAGCAGATCCTCAACTTAAAGTTTTGCGCTATCCTCCCTTTCCGTGTCAAAACATAGATCCATGGACCACAGTTAAAGCAATATGTAAAGATCAGTCTCGTACTCTTTCGTGCATAGCAATTTATTGCTCATCATGTCGGTAAACTGATTCTTGCCATTGTCTAAAAGTCTTAGTCATTCCCTAAGTATGCTTTTGTTTTGACAGTATAACTAAAGGATGCAGTAACTAAAGAGCTTTGTTTCTATTGTTAACTTAGCTTGCCTTTTCCTTATCTGAACTAAAAAGATACCATTCAGAAATTGTAAATATCAGCCAAAAGATGGAATTGAAGATCTTTTCCAGCTGTCTTAAATATAATTCCATTTGCCAAGTATTGTATAAAATGTCCCAAATTGTTCATGTTTACTGTTGAACAGCTGTAAATCCATTATTTTCCCCCCATCATCATAGAACAGACATAGTACATTATGAGCTTTCACTGACAATAATCCTTTAACAAGATTCTGTAGTAATAGTTCTCAAAAGGACCCTTCAATTTGTATGTACTTGTTTATATTAATTTATTTAATTTTGTAAATGTTGATAGGTATTTTTATATTTCTTATGAAGTGTTACAGCAACATGCACATGGAGAATAATGTTTACAGTTGCTATGTATTTGTTTGGAACACAATGTGCTTTCTAAGTGTAATGTTAATTTCAGATCGGCCTCTGCATTTCCTAGAGTGCAGCTGCAGTAAGGATACGATGTAGTTGAATTTCATTTCAGCATGTTGGTGACATGACCCTTCCTGGGAAAACAGACTACAAGACTCATTTGTTATGAGGAGTGATGCTGTCATGCTCATACCGTATACACCTGCAAAGCCATGTCAACTGTTTCATGTCTTGTCCAGTCATTTCAACCATTAAAGAAGCTGAAATTAAAGACTCGACCCAACTTGTTTTCTTGAATTTATGGCACAGCTGCAATAATGGGTGTGGCAGATGAACACTTGGCACAGTATTCAGAGAGCAGGAGAGATGATGAGGAGTTTATGCAATTTGTAATGGCCAATCTTTTGTTAATTTATTAGCACTCTTTGGATTTTCAGGCTTCATACTGTCTTGATAGCCTAGTTATCTTTACATGATTTACAGCTCAAGAACTCAGTTGATCTTGAGCTCGAGTGGAATTTTTGACAACAAAGAAACCTATATATTGGACCAACACAGATGCCATACAAGTATGATTTGCTCTAAATTGTGTGCTCTAAATGTTTTTATTGTGATATTGTAAATGTTTAATTTTTATTTTCTTTTCCCCACCACATCTTTTTTTTCAATTCTTCAGCAATAACAAATACATATTATTGAACATGGGGTAGCTACATTCATTTGAGAGGAATCAAGACTGCATTACAAAAAAACAACACTGTTTTTGTGTCATTAACTTCTGTTGTGACTTTTTTGCATCACCATTTTTTTGTGCCATTTACCTCTGTTGTTACCTTTTTTTTAATTGGACCGTTTTTTTTTTTTTTTATTTGCCGCGGGCTTCGGTTTCTTTTTCTTTCTTTTTTTTTTTTACTGGACCGTTTCTTTTTTATTTGCAGTGGGCTTTGGTTTCTTTCTTTCTTTTTTTTGCATTCTTTTTTATTGGCAGCAGTGGCAGTTCTCGGCCACCGAAGCTATTTCATCAAATACTATACAATATTCTCGTGCAGATATTCAAAGTGCTACATTCATCACTGTAAGACACTCATGCTGACATCAGCGTATTGGTTACCATGGTTATTTAGAGGTCTTCCACTTGCCCGTTGTGCCAGTTGCAAACGTTTTGTATTAAAACTATTAACACATCCAAATAACGACAATTGAGTATCTTGTTGTCAACATACAAAATACTTCCTTGAATATCCAAGGAGAAATGACAATATTTTCTCATTGCTCCGATTTCAAACAGGCACAGAACAAACAGCTCTGTTTGGGGTCCTGCGGCGCCGAGGTCAGCAGGGTGGTTTACAGTAGCGGTGGTGTCTCCTCCATATCGTCCTACACCGGCTCCTCCTGCTGCTGCTGCTGCTTCATCATCCACTGCAGGTTCTGCAAAATCACCAACAACACTAACACTCGGTGAGTAAGAGGCCGCAACTCACAGAGGTGAACCTTTTAGTGAATTTCATGGAACTTTTTTATCAGAATGACGATAATGAAACGTCCCAGTGCTAGCTTAAAAACGCCCCCTACCATGATCAAACTCCTTCAATATACGAAAACAAGTCAACCAACGACAGTGCAGAGTTTCTTACTCCACCAGAAAAGGAGAAATTATTTTTTAATTATTGTAAGGTAATGATATTTAAGAAAAAAAATGCACTTCTGTGGTGTGGTTATACCAAATATGCCATGGCATCTTTATTCCCAATGTTTCCATGGTGATCATGGATAAAGCTCGCGGACTAATGCAGACAGACCTTCAGTCTCACCTTGACAGCAGATCGTGAGAGACATGGAGACTGTGCGAGTAGGAATAAGTGCTGCAGGTATCTGTCACTACATACTTCTAGACTGAACCAGATGACCGATGAAGGAGAGAGTGGAAAAATGACAAACACAATCAGAAATAGTCAAAACTCCTGACAAGATCACAAGTCTCCCTGAATTTTGCTTTTGTTGTCATCTTCCCTGTTACACCCTAATAATAGTAATAACCATCGTATTTATCAAAGTCAAAAATGATCCAATACCCCAAACATTCCCAAAGATAGTAATAAAATCCCAATACATCTTGATGTTTAAGCTATCAAGTAATTTTGCTATTTGGTATTATTTATTTAATGCTTATTTGTCATTTTGCTTTGCTTAATTGATTCAGTTTCAGTCATATAATTTTAGTTAATTTGGGTCACAGCTATGCACTTTTATTTTGAAGGACCTGGGCAATTTGGACACACAGGTGAATTTACTTAGTTGATGCAGCCACTCAGGCAGGCAGTATGCACTGATAGTACGCACTTTCTGAGTAAGATTCGCTGCCCGGTGCCCTCAGTGACCTTTTGATTTTATTGTTGTTGACAAATAGCCACTACACTTTTTTATATGTGCAAAAACTTACCATACATTTAAACATCACACTATTTGATTGACTGGAGTATGCAAAATACTCACAAAGGTTATGTGCACAATTAATGTAATCAGTTCAACCTGTCAAAGTAGAAGGTGAAGGCAAAAGGAGTAGAAACACTTTTGGGTCTTCATATCCAACGCTTACAGAGGCTCTTTTGATGCTTCAAGGTTGATACATTTGTTTTTTTTTTCAAGGAAGAGGGTTGTTGCAGTGGTTAAAATGACAAAATAATGTTAATAAAATAAAATGAAAATAAGGCAGTTGAATTAAACACCATTATTACAGTGTGCCTTGTTTTTGGAGGAAGGTGACCCATTTTAATTTTACACTTCTTAACCAATGCAACAGTCTGCTTCCCTGGAAAAATGAAGTAGAAGATGTAAAAAAAAAACATTTTCAGCACTTTCAATTCCACAGAGGCATGAGTCAGAATGATGATTTATTGCTGTAAAAGTTCAACACAACAAGAAGTACAACTTTGTGGTTTTGTGCCTCGCCCTAAATAGTCAATTTCAAGTGAAGTTTGTTGAGGAAGTTTAGGATGTGCCTAAAAGGGGCTGTATGAAATATGCAAAAAAAGAGGCCCATGGTACACATGACCATACCATCCTAAAAGACTCTGTCTTCTAAACAAATCACTAGTTAGTAATACATTTTTCTGGCTCTTCTGTACATATGTAACATACAACCGGCAAGTGCTTTTTTTATTCTTTGTAACTATTTGAATTCACACGTCTCCTGTCTTTGACAGGCACAATGGCTGTTCCTCCAGCATATGCAGATCTTGGAAAATCAGCAAAGGACATCTTCAATAAAGGATATGGTAAGTAAGAGCAAGATGTAAGTTACAGGTTAACTATTTCTAAATTATGTTGAACTGTACAAAACAGTCCCTCAGTGTCTCTGTCTTTGCAGGTTTTGGGCTGGTCAAGCTCGATGTGAAGACAAAGTCTTCAAGTGGAGTGGTGAGTTTAGATGCTACATAATATATTACTGCTGAATATAAAGGGAGTTTAATGCACGCAGTATTTGTTAATGTCAGAATAGTAACACAGTGTGACTGTTATTGACATAATTGTAGAGGTGAGTGCTGTATTGAAGTGCCAAATGCATTAGAGATGATTTAAAAATAAAGTTATTCTGTCAAAGACTTTAGGATGATTGTAGTACAACTGCATAGCACTGCATTTAGTGCATAATTAACTTGATTGTATGAAATTGACTTTAAAAAAGTCATTTGTTATCCCTGGTCTGCTCCGTCAATGTAGAGTTACTCTCTGCCTCTCGTGAAGAAGCTCATGTATCCTGGGGTCTTGTTAACTTGACCCCAAGATACTTGAGATTCAGTCTACCTACCTCACAGCCCTCACCTTTGGTCATGAGTTTTGGGTTGTGACTAAAAGTTAGATGGTCCCTTGTATTTGCTCCACTCAATGATGCCCACTGTATTGACTCTGTATGTTCTTTTTTCAATGTGTTGTAATGTTTTCCAGGTCGTTTAATTGCCTCCTTTAATCACTTTAGGAGTTTAAAACATCCGGCTCATCCAATGTAGACACCAGTAAAGTCACAGGGACCCTGGAAACCAAGTACAAGTGGTCTGAATATGGGCTGACCTTCACAGAAAAGTGGACCACAGAAAACACACTGGGAACAGAAATTTGTGTTGAGGACCAGGTGAATAAAAATGTCATTAACTTTTCTGTTCATCTATACATTGACGCTTATCTTAGACAATGTTTGACTACTTGAATGATCCTCTTTAGATTACCAAGGGGTTGAAGCTAACTTTCGACACCACATTTTCACCAAACACTGGGTATGCTACTGCATATTTAGTCATAAAAAAATTTAAACTGCTATCGCTGTAAATTGACCTCACTGTATTTTTCTTTTTTTTTCCAACAGCAAGAAGAGTGGCAAAGTCAAGACAGCTTATAAAAGGGAATACGTCAATGTGGGTGTAGATGTAGATCTGGATTTTGCTGGTCCTACTATCCATGGAGCAGCAGTAGCTGGTTACGAGGGCTGGCTGGCTGGGTACCAGATGACCTTTGACTCAGCCAAATCCAAGATGACACAGAGTAACTTTGCGGTTGGTTATAAGACCGGGGACTTCCAGCTTCACACTAATATGTATGTTTTTGTTTCAACAAAAGATGACCAACAGAACTGCAGAGTAGCACAAATATTTTGCCAGAGAACGTCCTAATTTGCAGATTAGGTTAAGCAGGAGGGTGTCAACTTGCAAATAATCTGTTTTCTATTTGTAGTAATGATGGTGCAGAGTTCGGTGGATCCATTTACCAGAAGGTGAATGACAATCTGGAGACAGCAGTGAACCTCGCCTGGACAGCAGGCAACAACGGCACTCGCTTTGGCATTGCTGCTAAATACCAGTTAGATTCCAGTGCCTCCATATCAGTAAGTGTCTTTTTTTCAAATATTTTGCACCTATTAAAGTTACTCCCCCTCCATGTTTGTAAATGTTTCCTCCCTCCATGTGTTCTTAAACATTTTAGAGACATTTTTGAATGACCAAGTTGCATGATTGAAACTATAATATGAACATTCTGACATTTAAATGTCTGAAAATCAGACACATCTTGATGTATTTAAGCTGTTTACTTATCATTCCAGGTTTTTCCACTAGTAGCTGTATTGAAACTAACACTACATTTCGGTCTTCAACGTTTTTAGCTAATCTACCCATCAATCCTCTGGTTTTTACTCCATTTGAAGACTCCCATGTTGGAATTACATGCCTTGAATTTTCATATAAATGGAGAAAGGAGATGTAAAGAAGCTGTGTTAGATATCTAAATCTAAGTTAACTGAAAATGTCAATGTTTTTTCTTCAGGCAAAGGTGAACAACGCAAGCTTGGTAGGAATTGGATACACCCAGACTCTTCGGCCTGGTGAGAATCTTCTTATTCAATATATTACAACACTCTCAGGAGCAATAGACCTCTCTGCAAGTAACTTAAAAAAATACAGTACATGCAGTGTTTCCCTCAGAATGACACTTAAGTTCATTTTAGCGCAACATGTCGCACATTAACTCCAGAGTATTTTAATATCAAGAGAAAAAAAGGAACACTTGCAGCCCACTCAGGTATCATCTATGTATGGTGAATGGTGATGTATGTATGTGTTGCTTTTGTATTTCAGGTATGAAACTAGTCCTCTCTGCCCTGGTGGACGGGAAGAATATTAATGCTGGCGGGCACAAACTTGGTCTGGGCCTGGAGTTGGAGGCATGAGGATCTGCTCACCCATTTCATTAGAAGAAGAAAAACATCAGCAGATTGTGACCCTGAGCTCCGTGTCTGGTCAGCAACAAATATTTTAAAGAAGAAGACAGAGCCAAAACTGAGTAAGAACCCCAGCTCCCGAGCACTGCTAGGTTATAAACCTTTCCCACCAGCCTTTTTTGGGTTGCAGTTATAAAAATCTAGAAATGTTTAAATCATGTATTTATCATTTGTTGCTCCCTCTGCCAAGTTATCCTCTATGGTGATAGAAAAACCTCCTCTGGGAATGGTTTTCCAAAAACAAAGGCTTGTTACTTTGCTGAAGTGTGAAACTGTAGAATGTATAACTGAGCTGTTATTTTGCACAATAGAATATACACTTATTTAAGCGCTTTCTCCTTTATTTGCACATTTTGTTTTCGGTAGTCAAACTCTTTCTGTTGCAAGAGTTGCTTAAGAATTATGAATATGTATGTCAAGATCTCTATAGAGGCTTTATTATGCTGTGTGATGACTTTGAGACCTCTACCACCCAGAATACTTGCTTCAAAGTTGCAAGACAATGCTAAATGGATTCTCTTTTCCTCAGTGTGGTTTGAGTGAAAGACTATCTGAGTGAAACCTCCACTTTTCTTCCCATTTTTGAAGACTGTGACACTTATCATGAAGTGGTTTGTGTGTCTAACCAGTGTCTAACCTTTGCAATAAAGTCTTTAAATCCACCAACTTCCTCTCCTGTTGTTTACAATAATACATTATAAATAGTATAAGTTTAAGTTTGATCAGAAATGATGACATAAAGACAAAGGGTATATTCACTTTTTTTTTAATAAAACTATTTTTTCAAACCCTGCATTTGTGTTTGTAAACTGGATTATCTTGGAGGTATCATTGGTTCTAAAGTAGTAAACTTACACTGGAAATCACTATAAAAATATCAGAACTCCATAATCCCTTCTTAAAATATTTGAAGTTGTCAGATGTGTCCTACAGTTTGATAGCCAGTGTGAGACCATCTCCCACTGTGAGCATGCTCAGATTTATTCTCGTATCTCTGTGCAATTTCTTGTTCAGCTTGTCTATGGCAACTGTGTCCGCGTCATCTGGGGAGGGATTCAACACATCTCCTCCCCACAGCACCTGATGAAGAATGAGGAAAAAAAAAGTTAAGAGGATTAGATGGAATATTGAGCTGAAACTGCAACTGAAATGCTATTATTTTAAGGTAAACCCCTTACATTGTCGATAGCAATGATGCCCCCTGCTCTCAGGAGTTGCAAAGACTTTTCGTAGTAGTTGTCATAGTTGACTTTATCCGCGTCAATGAAGGCGAAGTCAAACGTGCCTGCCTGGCCATCGGATAAGAGGTCGTCTGAGGGAAAGAAACAGAAGTTAAGCTAACCCATTGGACTAAGAAAATATGAGTCTGATTCATATTAGCCAACACATGGCTCCTAATACTATGTTTCCCTATTTTTGAAAAGGAATGAAATATCAAACACACTTGGTAATAAAATTGGATACTTTTTATAAGTCTAATTTTCACGGTTTGCCAATGAGAAAAATAAATAGTTATGAATAAGGGAACTTCTGTGTAAAGACTTCAGTACAGGTAAACTGATAACCGTTCTGAGGACGTACGCACGCAGCGTCATTCAACGTCATCACGTTCAATCCGTCGTTTGGGCCAATGCTCGTTCGGCAGGAATTCGAATTACCGGAATTTACCGATTTGCGTGACGCGACCAAAAACGCGCGAAACGAGTGCTAATCTTTGGTACTTCGCAGAAAAAATGCCACCGGAGTGTTTCATTCATGTTCTTTTTTCTAAACACAAGGAAAGAGGTGCAAAATGGACTCGTATGAATGCAGGTACAACAGCGTTTATTTAACCCAACACAGCTTTGTCCTTAGCAATGTTGTTGATGACAACATGTAAACATAAAGTCGAGTCTAACAAGTTTCTGTAACGAGCTGTGTAGCTTGGCGTACAGATAGCTTGCCAAAATACAGCTGCTTGTATTGGACATGGTCGAGGAGCCACATGTGTATGAGGTCATTCGTTTCAATTTGCATATTAGCCAACTTCAACTTAAATACACGCTCGGTTAGTGGAAGGCACTAGTTTAATCGCTTTTCACTGTAGTGCAAAGGCAACGGCCAAAGTGGGATGTTTCTGTCACAGCTATAATATTACAAAAAATGTACATTTCAGAGCAGTCAGGACACCCAGAAGCCTCCAAATGACTTAGGTGACTTGCACTAGAAAACTGTGATGTTGAAAGCAGTATATTCAAAGATAAATGAAGTTCTGTACCAAGTGTTTGCAATGCTGGCTGGAGGCGTAGATCAATTTTTTTGTCGACTTCAGCCTGTTAACACAAAGAGGCACAAACATTTTCAAATATACAAGGGCAAGAGGTCTTTTGGTAAATAACAGATGAGATGTAATGCATTGTGGTTGAGTGTCAGGGGTTACTTCTGTGGGTGTACATGCATGTGTAATGATAATTATCTAATTATGGTTCAGTTTTGCAAAATAATAATGCTCCTTTTGCTGACTTTGATATAGCTGTACATAATCTGTATGATCTGCATAACTCCACTCCCACAGGCTCGTACAGGATGGTCAATTATTTACTTTACCACGCATTTAGTCCAGAGATATCACACTTAAATAGAGAGCAGATCAATCCAGCAGATCTTTACACTTGAGAGGCTTCAACAACCTTTGTTGTCGCTTTTGTTAAATAAATAACTGGTACTATAATTTGGCAATCACATAAATGTCACTCAAAATTTTAATTACCAGGCAACTACTCTTTCTGACAGGATAATTAAAAGATGTGGGTAGGTAATTGTTTATCAACAGCAGACTAGCCCAGATCCTGTTGCTTATCTCACCAAAGACCAACAGACTCTGAAGTCTGCTCTACATGCATTATGCATGAACGTGCATCAATCAAAACTGCAGAACACACAGTGGATATCTTGATCATTATTTTTACAGTATAGGAGCCATACGATCAACAGCAGTCTGATCCATCATATTACGGACCCCATAAGGATACAGTAATTGGGACGAATACTTAGTAAACACATGAATATAGATACCTCTTTCCAGAAGGGTTTTCCAATGTTGGTGTAGCTCTCACTGATATCACATGCCACTAAAACTCCATCATCAGGCAGAGTCAGAGCAATGCTCAGTGTGTTGTAACCCGTGTAGACTCCTGCAGAGAAAAGCCACTTAAAATTAGCAATGAGTGACAATATGAAGGGTAAAATCATGTAACCTCAAAATGTATCTTCAAATAGTTTTGATGTTTTTTTTATTTACAATGTCATGTCGAAATCAGCCTCTTTTCATTGGACGCCTTCTTTACCATTTGAGCTAAACCGACACCCCTTAATTAACAAGTTATGTAACTGATGACTGACATATTGAAGGCTGGAGGCCATAGAGAAAGAAAAAAGATACCTTGTGTCCTTGCTTGATATTTGTCACCACATTTTAATGATTTGGTGCACAAAATAAGTGTACATCTAGCACAACAGACCAGCACTTTACCTACTTTTAAGTGCAGTGTACCTGTCTCTGGCATCACTTGTGGAAGGCATGTTTGTAATGAGCTACAATGTGGGCAAAATTTAAAAATGTGAATAAATGTTGAAAGAGATAATCATCAGAGCCTCTCTCAGTGTTTAAGTTGCACACCCCAAGTACAGAGAATACAGTTAAGGCCTGAAAAGAGCCCCCCCTCAAATCTACAATACATGTAAGAGATAATTATCATGTGAATTATGCAGCTTCAGCTCATAACAGTGCTGCCAGGTGGAGCAGACTTGGTGTGGAACAGTTGGTCTAGTCCTGTAATTACTGCACAGACAGTGATTACAGTCTGTGTGATAAACAACTTTGGGGCAACTGTGTCCCTTAATTTAGCAGAAATCTTCTTGTGACTGGATTTTGAAGAAAGATTGCACTGTGGAAAGTTCCCAGCAGCTGATTCAGCACCTTGGAGAGCGTCACATTGCTCAAGTCTTACGCTACTATAATGTTTAAGATTTCCTGGTCAGATTTGGTTAATCATTAATGGATATTTTTGAAAGTTGGGTTAGTTATATTGTACAAAGGTTGTTTTAATTTGAGCAGGTAATCAAAAATCCTGACTCATGGATTTTTGGAGGACTAGTTTATGATTTTGATGTTCTGCCAATAATAAATCTATTTGAAAACAGACAAGGGAGCATCCATCTATTATCTTTTCCACTTTTTCAGGACAAATCACCAGCCCATCACAAGACTCCTGTGTAGGGCTCACCAAAAGAAGACCCTGTCTGGCTGGGAATCTGAACCAGGAACCCTCTTGCAGTGAGGCAACAGCTATTGTACCACTTTGCCTCCCAACAAGTAAGCACTGGCTGTGAATTTTCTTGTGCAGCCCCGTTACTCCAAAGAAAGCCTCTTAATTGTGTGTATGAGGTTTCTGCTCATAGAATATCAATCATGATAGGTGTATATGCTCCAAAGAGGTGATAATACATGAATTCAGTGGCCTTTACCAATCTCCAATGCTTTCTTGGCTTTTATCAGCTTTGCCAGGTTTGCCATGAACTGCGACTGTTCACAGGCGACCATCATCACGTTCCTGGGGTCTTCCATTGTTCTCTGTAAACAATGAAAGCAAACCGGTCACATGACATTCACAAATCCTATACATTGACCCATTTATATGACACATTAACCCAGTGGTTCTAAAGCCCAGTCTTCGAGGCCCACTGTCCTGCATGTTTTGGATGTTTCCCTGCTCCAACACACCTGATTCAAATGATCAGCTCGTTATCAACCTCTGTAATGGCTTAATAACGAGCTAATCATTTGAATCAGGTGTGTTGGAGCAGGGAAACATCCAAAACATGAAGGACAATGGGCCTCAATGACTGGACTTGAGAACCACTGCATTAACCTAACAATATGACACTAAAATAACCTTACCAGTCTTAGCTTTGTGAGGGCCGGATGCTCCCTCATGGAATGATTGAGGACATACTGCATTAGGGGGTTGCTTTTGCCCCCCGCACTGTGGCTTTTGAAGATGCTCATTCTGGTGGATATCTTTTTCCCTGGGGGTGAACATGAACAACAAAGGAGCTTAACATAGTTGAAGATTTAGTTTGATTTATCTCCTCTACATCTTCGAGAAAACTGACATCCGTTCCAGTTATGTTACTGCAGCTTTATTTGATTTAGAGAAGATAAAACAGTAGTGATCTCAAAGGGTCAAATCCAGTTATTGCACAATCAGCAAGAAATCTAGTTACAAAAATAAATACTGGAAATTGTAAGACTAACAGAGTCTTTATTGACCAGGGTGCAGAGTGAACAAACTGGTTAAAGTAGGCTTTGTACCGGACAGCTACATTCTTGGAATTAATCCAGCTGTGTAAACTCAGGAAGTGACAAAGCATTTTTATTTGCACACTAGCCAAACAACCTTTTCTTCATTGTGCAATACCACAAAAAAAAAAAAAAAAAAAAATCAGGATTTATCTCTCACCAGGGGTATTATGTAACAGTAGTTGACAAAAAGTGCATTTAAAAGGAGCTTAAGTTATGTAAGACTTACACAGGGTCACTCAGCTCAGTTTTGCTTGGTTTCTATAAACCCTAATCAGTGAGAATCATTCAAAGTCCTCAACCAAACAACTTCAGTGCATTTTAAAAGACAAAATCATAACAAATTTGAAAAAAATGTGCACCTTTTCAGTTACAGATCATTAGTTAGGAGATTAGAATATGAGAGGTAATAAAATATGTACAAAAGGACATCTTTAGTAAATTGTTTTCATCGGATTATATTGTGTATAAACCGTGACACTGATTAGAATGCATATGACTACTGGCCACAAACAACTAATTATGTTTCAGTCACACAAAACAGTTAAGAAATTAAAGGCAGTTTTTAAACCTTTCACTTTCATGATACTCATTCAACCTCTGAGAGCTTGTTAACATAAAACAACATTCACTTTAAAATGATTTTTTATTTCTTTTTATTTTATTTTTAAATTTTTATTTTATTTCTTTTATTTTTTATTTTCATTATTTTAAAATGAATCATTTTCTTAAAAATGTGTATTTCTTTTCTTTTCTTTTAAAATAAATCCGTTCCCTCGCGCTGCCCTCTAGTGACGTAAACTCGCCCCCACGTTTTAAAACAGGGTTACCTTGGTGTTATATCGACGTTATTGCGTTTAAAATCACGTTTACTACCTGTATTCTTACCGTATAAATAACCAGCGGCAAAAACAACACCGAGGGCGACCGACCCCACCAATGCTTCTTTGGAAACGCAGCGAGAAGACATATTAAGAGCTCTTACTATTAAACCGCACGTCTCAATTGACTTCGGCTCAAGCGCTTCCGCGTTAGCCGAGCGTCTCACCGTAATACTACTAATAGAGGCGCCGCTCGAGGAAAGCAGCTCAGGAGGTGTCAGTTCCATCTACGTCGGTGCACTGTGCGTTTGAAAATCTAAAACTATCATGGGATTGCCGTTGTGTTTTGCAGCGTAGAAAGTAGGAGATCACAAAACTAACATTTGACGAGTCAAATTCAGAGCAACCGTGCAGTGAGGAGGAGCGTCAACTCGAGTGCGCAATGTAAAAGCCAGATTCCTCCGGAAAAAAAATTCACAAGTTCCAGATACCTGAAGCATGCAAAGAGATCCACATGCAGCCAAACATGCAAAATCAACTCACCACTGTGGGCTGCGTCTATGGGTCGTGAAATCCGAGTGGGCGACGTGCTTCCTGTGTAATGAACCTTAATAATTCCCTCATTTATGTGAAGTAACCCCAGTCATATGACCGGGGGAGGTTCTCATGATTGGGCTGTAAACCAGACGCCCATTGTTGCAAGTGACTACCCCCCTCCCTCTTTTACAAGGCGTATATCAACGGCTTTCACAACATTTTCCAACTATAAAGAGCTGGATTAGGATTATATCGTTATCTCGTATTTATTAATCTAAGTAGCACTGATCTCCAGTCTTAATCTGAATGAGAGTTCACACCCAGACCCGGCTAGTAGAAAAATAAAGTCAAAAAATGGCAACAAAATGCTGTGGTGTGCTTCAAAAACTAAGAATCTTTGTGATTTAAATTATTTAGGAACAATTTTAATTTCAACCAGGGACAACAGTCAATGTTTATTTATAAAGCACCTTAAAAAGAGAGCAGTCAAACAAAGTACTGTACATGGGATAACTAAAAGAAGTAAATAGATAGATAGATAGATAGATAGATAACAATGAAAAAATAAAATTAACAACAGTAGAATAAAATACAGACAGTAAAAGAATAAAAGCTACAGTGCCTCTGATTACTGTGTGCTCATTTATTAAAAGCAAGGGAGAAAAGGTGGGTCTTTAAAGATGATATAAAAGACTCTGAGGTCGAAGAGGCTCTAATATGCACAAGTAAACTGGTCCACAGTCTAGGGGCAACCGCTGAAAAGGCGCTGTCACCTTTAGGGTTACTAAAATAGGAGTTATGTGGTTGTGGTTTTTCTTGCCAGAGAGGAGCCGAGCAGCAGCGTTTTGAATGAGCTGAAGGCGGTTGATGGACGACTTGTCCGAGCCTGCATAGAAGGAGTTGCAGTAATCTATACGTGAAGTTATAAAGGCATGAGTAGTTTTCTCAAGATCAGCCTTTAAGAAATAATTTTCAGTCTTTGCTAGAAGATGGAGCTGGAAAAAGCTTGTTTCAACAACAGCACTGATCTGCTTATCAAGGTTAAGCTGGTTGTCAAAAATAAAATGCTCAAAACTTTCATCTTTTTATAGTTGACAGGAGACCAACTACTTTTCTGCCCAAACTAACATTTAATCCATAATGAACAGACAAGATTAGCTGTAGATTAAAGAAAAATGACAATACAAACTTTCATCTTTTATTTTAAACATTTTTTAGCCCCAGCAGTTTGACCAACTACTTTTCAGCCCAAACTAACATTTAATCCATAATGAACAGTTAAATGTTATGTCAGGACTAGAAGCGTCAATCATGAACAGATAATGACTGTTATCGGACCGTCACGCCTAAAAGCACGTTATTAGATGTATACAACTCCTCTGAGGGCTCTCCTGTTAACAGATAGAGGAAGAACACATCAGTGTAATGAAATTATAGACCACAATAAAGATTTTCTGTTTAATCCTGAGAGTACTGTCACAAGGTTATTACATTTATTTATTGCTTTTTTGCATCATAATATAAAAAGTGGTGTGCAAAACATGTTTAACTATGCGGCAAGCTGCCTCGGCACAGTGGTCTAGTTTATTACTTTTTACCTAATACAGATGGCATCCTCAAATTCAGTGCCCACTGTGTGTAAACACTAATAAACTTGCACGCATTCCTAATGGTGTGTTTGATTAAATAATAAGGTGTGGTCTCACCATCTTGGAGACACAGAAAGTGACTGGGCTACATACTGGTATGGCCCAAACATGAATAAAAACAGAATACAATGATTTGCAAATTCTTTCAGACCTATAATAAATTGATTTCACTATAAAAACAAGATATTTAAAATAAGACAGATGATCTACTGATAAGATTTTTAATTCAAACAATCCACTCAACACTTTGCTTAGTGAAAACAGCAAAATATACATAGTATACACCCCAACGTTTGTTTACCCCACTGAATGATTAAGAGTAATGAGTAAAAGTAATTTCATCCTGCTTCTCTAATGGAAACACCTTTTTTTCATGTTGTCCTAAAATGAAATGATAATTGGATAATTAAAGTAAAAAACACAGCTTTAGCTCTTGATACAAATCCTTATCAGCTGTGTCAGTTTGGGGTTTGTTCTCACTGGAGATACACTTTTGTGACTTGCCTGGTTCATGCTGCTCCAAAATATTCAAAAGCTTCACTGGAATATGACAAAATAACTCAAAGATATATGGATAAAGATAAAAAGGAGAAACTGAATGACTCTTAGGTAAGATATTTCCTTCTTTAAAGAATGTAAACCCTTTTCAACTGTCTATGAGAACTTGTTCAACAAGTGATTATGATGAGAGAGGAGTGGTATCACGGCATGAAGCTTTTAAAAAAAACAAAGCCAGCGTTGAAATGGTTTGTTTGCACTGTAATATAGGTCTACAACATACGATGGAATAACAACAGAGTTTTTATTGTAGCAATACACAGGTGACTCTAGTATTACAAATTTTAATCCTACTAAAATCAGGGGTTTTGGTTCTTACTGGGTTATTGTGTAACAAAAAGGTATTATGAACACCTGTGCAACCTAATCCATCACAGTACAACAGCTCTACCTCAAATGCTACTGTCAGGAAACTTCTGAGTTTTCAGTGTTTGTCGAGCTGGTCCGACCGGTGACAGCTGTTCTTTCATTGACTTTTGAAGCTGTAGTTGGAGTTCATTGTGTCCTAGACTGCAGTATATTGACAGGTGCTCCTATATATTGCTTTCAGGTGTTCATAATGTTATGGCCGGTCAGTGTATAAGACTATTCTTGAAATTTAAGCAGGAAGTACAGCCACTTTTAAACGGACAATGATAAGGACATGCAATACAAGTTTTCAGACAGACAGGGGCAGTGTTGTACAGGCATTGAAGCTCACTTGGACAGACACTACACATTTTGGCTTTGTCACTCGCACTATAACAACAGCCAAACATATCTGACTAAATGACCTTATAATTAGACCTTATAGTTGACCCATAATACCAAAATACTACTTATGCATAGATGCTTCACACACAAGGTTGACATGCTGTTTGAGAGGGTGACCTATGAGCTGTTGCTGTGCCTGTGGGAAATGTTTAAATGCAACTAAAATGCATCAGTTGGATATAAACCATCAAATTTGGAGAAAAGATTACATTTCCATTTTCTCACAGTTGTGGTTTTGTTGTTAAATCATAGTTTGATATATTTTTGTGCTCAAATTGGAACTTAAACTTTGCCTGAGGAATAATTTTTTCTCATGTGACCCAAAGTTTCTCAGCTTGAAACTTTGAGGAAATGTGAGTTTTAATGCAACTACAACAAACGTGTTTATATATATATATATATCAGAGCTTCATTATTCTGCACCTATTACAAATGCTTATGTGCAAGAGAAGCATAACAAACAACACATAGGTTGCATTTTGAGAGCTACCGACATGTATTTAGTATGTTTTTATCTTCTGTTTTAATCTGTTTAATAAGGGAGGACATGCATGAAACGTCCCCACTAGAGGGGGAGATCACCTTTCTTTATCCAAGTGCTTCTTATTAAACAATATTTTTTAAGAACTTTGGGATTTTTGGGCAGTATTATCACATCCTGTACATGTGAAAACCAAAGTTCAGGCTGTGAAACAGAGACAGTATGGAGACAGTGTTCTTCATACTCAAAGATCAAGATTTGCCGGTTCTTCACTGACACCTGTTTGTGCTGGTTCTGCCTGATAAAAAGCTCACTATGTGATGATTTCTCTGTGCACAGATCCCTCTGCTCCCAAGTGATGCTGACAGAGTCCAGACAGTACGGGGAGGGCTGAGTTTCCTGCAGGGGGTAAAGTGGAGGGGGCTGAGACGCTCCCAGCCGGGCTACAGAGGTGTGGAGCTCGCCTCGGGGGTGAGCCTCTTGGTGAGTAAACACCATAACCATCCAGCACAGAGACACGCTCCTCGGGGTCGGGGAATTTTCTGGTATGCCAGAACAATATGTGACACTGTAGTGATGATTGAATTTTATAGGGCGGCCTGACTCCAGTCCACTGTCTGTGAGAAGAAGTGTTTTATGATGTCACATGCCGGGATGATTAATGCGCTCTGAAATGTGTGGGCTTTCTTTGTGTGTGTGATGAGGCAATATTCCGTTTTTATCACACATTACAGGAAACTTTACGAGTCTGTTATCCTTCTCCACAGAGCCTTTCAGAGCACTTGTTAAGATTTAAATGACCTGCAGTCTTGTCTCTGCGCTTTATTACTTAGCAAACATGCCCTACAAATTTAAAACCAGCGCTGAGCCGCGCTCGTCAGACATCCGCTCTCCGGGACAATGAAATGTCATGTAAGTCCGCTCCTCTCAACTCTGGAATTTGACTTTGGCAGCAGTCCTTCTCTTTGACTGACAGATGAGCGAGCGATACGACTCCATCAAAAAGTGCAGCCTGACAGTTTGATTTGACAGCCCTCTTCAAACCAAATACTCCCCCTTGTTCCTGGCACTACATCAACCTGACATGAGGAAAAGTGGGAGAGAAAAAAAAAGAGAAAAATGATGTACATAGCTATATTCTGATATAGATTTCACTATGAAATCGTGATGGAAAAAAAATGTCAGTGGAAAGATGTCAGGTCTTAAGTTCTCCCATCATTCTTCTGTCTTTTATGCTTTAACACTTTAACTGGCCTCTCCCACCCAGGACTTGAAATTGTATTTCTTCTCCTCCACATATTGTTTCAGTCTGAAACCGTTTCACAGTAAAACCGTTTCAGACTCTTTTTTTAATCGTTTTTCTTCGTCAATAAAAATAATAAAAGTAGTGAACAATTAGAGAAAATGACCTTTTTCTACATCATATTAATTCAACCAGACTTTTATTTCATTTTCTACCCTTTAGATATTGTTTTCAACAAGACACATCAATAGAGCTTTTCCATGCAGAATTCATTACAGTTTTATTTGTCAGTCAGGGTTATTATTTGTATTGGTCTCATCCATTCTTGCCATCTGTATTTATTCCAGTCCTTTTTATTTAACTATTATTCTAGCTCAAGAAGGTGACACCCCTTTAATCTTGGTGTTAACTAAAAATTCTTAGAGGTTGATTTCAGCTAAAATCAATCAGT